CACTACTGCGAGGTAAGCACAGAAAGCCCCTGCACTCGGTTTGGCGCTTGAGAATGCGGAGCAAGGGTACCCTGAAAGCGAAAGCGTAGCCGGGCGTACGGAGCAGGGCCATAGTGGGTGCGTGCTCGGAACGGAACTTTGGTCAATGGACGGCAGGCCTTTTGGATTTCCCAGTATCTTACCCGTTTTTCGAGCGCGCCTCCCCGTAGTCATTGGTCATCCAGGGCGGGCGGCGAATGTTGACTTGGGACTACCAGTGACAGCCATATACGGTGTGCCTTTGTTTCCGGCCACCCTTTCTCTACTTTGGCAATGTGGCTGGCATCACTCGACGCACTGTCGGTGGATGACGCTGCGAATAACTAGCTGGATCGTCCACCTGGGCGGCAACATTTTGCCGGCTCAACTCTGTGGCATATCGTGCTCTCTGAAGAGAACTTGGACGATGAACGATGGGCAACGAATTCAGTACTAAATGGCCTTATGGGCCGACATCTATCACTTGGCGGCTCTCGCGCTCATGTGCCCGCTCTTTTCCTGTGGCGAGATCTCGTCTACCATCGGAGCCGAATGCGATTATTGCTTTCGAGGGCCTCGAGAGAGGCGTCAGATTCCGGACGCTCGTCGCTTGTACGAGTGCCCTAGTGGCAGAGTCACTCCCCAAGGCCCGCTCGACGCAGGCCACCCTGTCGAATGCCAGTATGGGGGGCCCTTTTTGCGACCAAGATGGATTTTTATTCTGGAAGATCTTTATATCGCATGGACCCCGTGTAGCCTTGCAACGACAACTGATCCAAACCTCGCAGCGGACCGCGGGGCGTTGCTAGATGCACTGTTCGGCCCTTGCGGGGAGCTGGTACCTGGTTCTCATGAGCCCTATGCTGTGCCGGGCGGGTAGCCATGAGGGGGGTTATGAGAGATGCTCCCGACAAGATCAGAACAGCCAATCGACGGCATCGCTGTTCAATGTACGCGAGCATGTCCGCTCGAGCCCACGATCGATCAGAGGAACGGGACTGTTAGCAGAAGGCGTTGGCCAACCTCGTGTCGTTGCGTTGCCCTACGGGCCCGACGGCGCCCATTGCATCCAGCAATGGCGCGAAAAGGATTGCCATATGCAAGTCTATGTAGATCTTGCATGCTAAAGTCACATACCAAGAACCAAATTTTGTAGCAAGACAAGTGAGAAGCAGAAGAAAAATGCGCTTGGTCATGCTGAGTTGACGCAAGTTGCTTCTCAGCATGCTTCATGAACTCGGTGGGAAGGAAAGGTGAGGGTCAAACGGAGAGAATGGTATCGGCCGTTGGGACTTGGCCTATGCTGATCTCGGTGAGGAGGATTATATAAGCAGCGACCGTTGCCGTGTCGTATCACGTGATGGCGCGACGTTTTGGCACCAGGAAGCTGCTGGGCTCCTCTAGAGCTGCCTCAGTACTAGGTACCTTAACTCACGTCACTGTTCGCCTTCACGTCCACACCGCGAACCTCACCATTATCGTCACCAGCTGGTGAATCTGCCATAGCTCAAAATTCGCGTTCCATTTGATGAGATTTGCCGTCGAAGCTGGAATCTGTGACCACGATTGCTTCATTTCCTCCGCCCTCCTTCCCGCACACTTTTCCCTCGTACCATCAACACAACAGCCTCACGCAGTCCTCTCAATTCCAGAAAACCCGCCATCTTCCCATCCTTGCCGCTTCGGCCCAGAAGAAGACGCTCTGATTAGCGACAACGGTGTCGCTCCTCCCGAGTCATTGGGTTTAATGCTCGTTTGATTGGTTGATCGACTGGCCGTAGCCGCCCTCCTTATTCAAGATGAAGTTCTTCATCGAGTGAGTAATGAACTCTGCGCCTTTCACGACGCTCTCACAAGTCGACTAACCTAGAGGTCATAGTGAGCTGCCCGTTATTTTCCCATATCCTAGGATCTATCCGGAACAATATGCGTGAGTACAGCTCGGTTGGATACTCAGACCTAGCATGACGCTGACGGCGGTATGCGTGATTAGGTACATGTGCGATCTCAAAAGTGAGTCCAGGTGCTCTCAGTTCATTCAGCATGAGACGAAACCGAAGCTGACAGTCGGACTTGATGTTCAGAAACCCTGGATGCAGGCGGGCATTGCGTTCTGGAGATGCCTTCAGGAACGGGAAAGACGGTCTCGCTGCTCTCGCTCATTGTTGCATACCAACAGCACAACCCCGAGCACCGAAAGCTTATATACTGCTCTCGTACGTTGTCAGACCGCCTGCATACCACGTTCGACTCACCATTCTGTCCCAGCTCTGATAGTCAACAGGTACCATGTCCGAGATCGAAAAGGCGCTGGCCGAGCTGAAAGCTCTTATGAAGTACCGAGCAGAGGAGCTCGGTGAAGAAGAGGAGTTCCGCGGCCTCGGACTGACGAGCAGAAAGAATCTATGTTTGCACCCTTCTGTCAAGCAGGAAAAGAGTGGCGCCATCGTCGACGCTCGTTGTCGGAGTCTCACAGCTGGGTTCGTCAAAGAAAAGAAGGATCGTGGGGAGAGCGTCGATGTCTGCGTATACCACGATGTGCGTGAAGTGTTGCGCCACAGTCTAGTCCCTATGCATTGCTAATGGGCCACAGAACCTGGACCTGCTTGAGCCACACAATCTGATCCCTAACGGAGTCTGGACGTTCGAAGGCCTCTTGCGATATGGCGAGCAGCACAAACAGTGCCCTTACTTCACTGCACGGCGCATGGTAACATCGCCCCCTAAACGCACCGCTACGGCCGAGCCAATGTCGCTAACAAGCTGAAAGATGCAATTCTGCAACGTCATCATCTACTCATATCACTACCTTCTTGACCCCAAGATCGCCGAAAGGGTGTCTAGAGAGCTATCGAAAGATTGTATTGTGGTCTTCGATGAGGCTCACAACATCGACAATGTCTGTATCGAATCCCTCAGCACGGACATTACGGAGGACTCTCTCCGAAAGGCCACAAGAGGCGCGCAGAATTTGGAACGGAGGATTGCGGAGATGAGGGACACCGACCAAGAGCAGCTGCAGAATGAATATCAGAAGCTGGTAGAGGGTCTCCGCGGCGCCGACGAGGCACGGCAGGAAGACGCTTTCATGGCGAATCCAGGTAATGATCGTTCGGCCATGGGCCACCTATTGGGCAACGGTTAGCTAACACACCCAAAGCATTGCCCGACGACTTGCTCAAGGAAGCGGTTCCGGGTAACATCAGGAGAGCCGAGCATTTTGTGTCGTTCCTGAAGAGATTCATCGAGTATCTCAAGGTGGGTTGGCTTCTCTCTCTATAGAGCAACGAAGGCTCGCGTGCTGACAAGCCGGCAGACCCGCATGAAGGTTAGACATACGATATCGGAGACACCGCCGTCCTTCCTTGCTCACCTTAAGGAATACACCTTCATCGAGAAGAAGCCCCTAAGATTTTGCGCCGAGAGGTTGACGTCTCTTGTGCGGACTCTTGAGCTTACCAACATTGAGGATTACCAACCCCTTCAAGAAGTAGCCACCTTTGCCACTCTTGTCGCAACGTACGAGAAAGGCTTCCTGCTGATCCTCGAACCATTCGAATCGGAGACGGCAGAGGTGCCCAACCCAGTGCTGCATTTCACATGCCTTGACGCTGCCATCGCGATCAAGCCCGTCTTTGACAGGTTCAGCTCCGTCATCATCACGTCGGGAACCATGTCTCCGCTTGAAATGTACCCTAAGATGCTGGGCTTCTCGACTGTCGTACAGGAATCATACAGCATGACCCTCGCAAGGAGATCCTTCTTGCCAATGATCGTCACCCGTGGGAGTGACCAGTCTTCCATCTCCACCAGTTTCCAGGTCAGAAATGAGCCGAGTGTTGTCCGGAACTACGGCACCCTCCTTACCGAGTTCGCCAAGATCACGCCGGACGGTATGGTCGTGTTCTTCCCGTCGTATCTGTACATGGAGTCAATCATTAGCATGTGGCAGGGAATGAACATTCTTGAAGAGGTCTGGAAATATAAGCTCATCCTCGTCGAGACACCGGACGCGCAGGAGACATCGCTTGCGCTGGAGACATACCGGACGGCCTGTTGCAATGGTCGTGGCGCCATTCTTCTCTGCGTCGCCCGAGGCAAGGTCTCAGAGGGTATTGATTTCGACCATCAATATGGTAGAACCGTGCTCTGCATAGGCGTTCCGTTCCAGTACACTGAGTCTCGAATCCTCAAGGCGAGGCTCGAGTTTCTCCGCGAGACGTACCGCATCCGCGAGAACGACTTCCTGTCTTTTGACGCCATGCGCCACGCCGCGCAGTGCTTGGGCCGTGTCCTGAGAGGCAAGGACGACTACGGTATTATGGTCCTTGCGGACCGCCGGTTCCAGAAGAAGCGCGCGCAGCTACCCAAGTGGATTAACCAGGGTCTACTCGATGCCGACACGAATGTAAGCACCGACATGGCCGTCAGTAGCGCGCGACGCTTCCTCAAGCAGATGGCGCAGCCGTTCCGGGCAAAGGATCAGGAGGGTGTGAGCACCTGGAGCTACGAAGACCTGATGAAGCACAAGGAAAAGATGGATTTGGAGCGTATCCAGGAGCTAGAGGAGGCCGGCGCCGGTGGCGATGGATACGGGGCCGACGGCGGAGACGAGTATGGCATCAATGACGACCTTGACGACGACCTGATGGAGATTGACGACGGCTTCTGAGAGTCTCACGCCCTCAGATGGTCCGTCGGGCCAGCACATTGGGAGTTGACGGGTGACGAGGGAGAATTCGGCGGCAGTCTTTGTCTGTGGTCTAAGCATGAAAGGCCAAGATTCTATATATTAGGGCCCTTAGCTCCAGATCAAGCAAATAAAATGGCTGTCTAACCCAGAACCGACCAAATCTTCCGCTTGTATGACTACGTGGAGCGACAATTTCGCTACCCATCTACCTCGTTCCCTGAACCCCCATGTCTAGGCACCGCCGGGTCTATCTATGGTACAAACGTAGGCCGTCGTGGCCGCTAGATGCTCACCCCAACGCAACTCTCTTGGCCGCCTTCTGGGCCCTCATGGCAGGAATGGTGTTTCCCCTGCCTGGCTTCCTCCCGACCTCCATGCACAGCATACGGATAAAGTCCAGGCTTGTCCAGTAGCAGGTGTGCGCGCTCAACATGTTGAGGTACTGGATCTCCAGAGGGCCGCCGCCGAACCTCAGGTAGTAATCGATTTGACCGTTATCGTTGAGTAGGTACGCCTTTCTTTCCGCTGTCTCTTCCCGTGTGAAGTCGTGGACCTCCAACTCGAGCTGTGAGGGCAAGCGCACGAATGATGGTTTTGGCACCGCGGGAGCGACTGGGGCGGGTGTTGTGCCCGGCACCAGGCTTTTCATCGCGTTGCCAACGTACTTGAAGATGGAGTTGGCACTTGATGGCACATATGCGGTTCTCAGACTCGTGGCATACACGGGGTCTATGGTGCCGTTCAGCAGGTATGCGATAGGGTCCTCCTTGGCCAGCACATTGTAGATGTTGTCCACGGCGATGCAGCCATACCGACCGGCCTCGCCCGTCACTTCAGGCGCGTTGGTATCGGCGGGATCCGCACCGGGCTTCATTCTCCCGCGACGAGGCTGAAGCATACCCCTCTCGAGGAGCAGGAAAAACCCGGCGGGGCTTCCTACGAGAAATAGGTTAGTTGTGTCGAAATCGAAGAAGTCTGACTGGGGCATCCCGGTCGACAGATCCAGCCTTGGGACGCGCGTGGGTTGCCGCGAGAGGATCTCGATAGCCATGGCGCTGCCGAGAGAGTGCCCGACCATATGGATTCGCCCTCTCTCTGCAAACCCAGGATTGTTTCGGCACCAGAGTCGATATACACGATTGGCTTCCGTGACCAAGGCCTTGATCATTTTCCCCTTATGGTGAGATAAGTAGAACGGTATGTCGAACATGACATCCGATATCATGCTTCGTACCGCGGGGATACTGCCGGGCTCGATGTCTTTGAGACTGAAGCCGTCCGGTACGTGTGTTGCCTTGTCTTCCTCGGTCATCGGGCCACCATCTTCGAACGACAGGGTGTGGCGCCAGTTGATGGGGAGTACCATGATGCCGTTCTGATCTTCCCTCAAAAACTCCTTGACTGCTGGGTTGGCCAGTTCCAGGTTAACCTCGCGGCGGAACGCATTGATGGCGTGGGTGAAGTGGAAGCTTTCGACTCTCTCAGCAAACTTCTGCCCAATGCCGTGGACGACGAGAACGAGGTCCGTGACCTGGCCATGCTCTTTCTGCGCCTGGCAAGCTGCGCAAACGTCTTGCGCAATAGCCTCGGGCGAGTCGCTAGCGGGGAACGCCGGCTGATTGGCAGCGTCTCGGTTGGCCTTCTTGTCGTGGACCCGCTCCCAGGCTTGCCGGTCGAAACCACGCACGATCGGAATACCTACGGTCATGCCTTTCATGATCTTCGCAACTGGCCGTCTGCCGTAGTAAGCCGAAGGCTTCAGGCTAGGCTTCAAAAGGAAGGCTTTGGAGGCGTCCTTGTAGATGACATGGTAGGTCGCATAGCTCCGATGCTGCTGAGCGGCCGTTCCGGCCTTCAAGTTCGGATCGATGGCGCCCTCGGCCGCAGCCTCTCCGCGGAAGCAGTTTGCGGCACAGAATGGGTCTGTTGATATGCGCATATCCGAAACTATTCGCTGATCTCTGTCACCGAGAGACTCCATGTCTTCCGGCCACAGCCGATGCGACACTTTCTCCTCACCGAGGGGGCCAACTTCAACTGCGCAGCGCAGCTCATCGTTCCAAGTTTCGGTGTGGGGCTTCAGCTCTCGATAGCCAGCCTCCAGCTGGTTAGCCACGGCCGGGGGTATGGGCAGCATCGTGTCTCTGCACGCCTGTCAGGACTCTCACAATACAGTGCAGGAGCGCACAACAAACCTGTAAAACCAGGTGGCCCGGAGGACCACGGCGATATCGTTCACGGGGGACCAATAAATGGGTTTCATCTGTAGGGCGGGAATAGACACAAGGTGCAGACGAGAGACACCCACGACGACGTCGATCGCCTCCTTCCTGTAGCTTTCATCGCTGACAAGCTTGGCTTGCGTGGTATTTGCCCTTTTTCTTGGCGACTCTGATGAGGCGTTCGGCGGTTGCGCTTCCCGCCCTTCGGTGTCGTTCGGGTTGGAAGGTTCTGGAGGAGGGAACGAAGCCACAAAGTTGTCCTGCGGTCTCTGCCGAATTCCAGCTCGAACGAATGGCTTACCAGAGATGCCATCGTCTACCGTATGTTGTCGTAAAGAGCTTCCGAGGCCCGGGGTGGAGGGCCGCGAGGCTTGCTCACTCGCCCGAGATTCAGACATAGCCCTTGACTTGGCCGTATCCCCAATGTTTCCGGCCTCCTTGCCGAGCTTCTGTAGCTCACTCGCCGCTTCTTGGCGAGGGCTGAAGGAGCCAATGATCCCCATCTGCCGTGACTGAGCCGACTCCGCACGAGGCCGCGAGGATGAAGTGCTCCCAGGCTGGGACCGGGATTCAGCGGAGGAGGTTAACCGCCTCAGCTCCATCATCACGTCTTGCACAACACTCTCCTGGCCTAGCGAATGATGATACTTCCTGGCCAGCGCACAGAAAGTGTTCTGTAGTTCGGTGGAGACATCTATAAATAAGTCCGGGCAGCATACGGAAATCGGGGTATCCGGGAGCATGTCAGAAGCCTCGCCTGCTGAAGACGATGCCTGAATGGTACCGCCGTGTTTGTGGATGTGCTTCACAGCCAAGTGACGCACCAGAAGAGCCAGCTTGGCTGCGTTCGCTTTCTCCATGGCTGGGCTGGGTTTCCGACCCCGTACCAACTGCTCGTGGGCTTGGATACCATCATCAGATAGGAAGCTCAGCCAAGCCTTCTCGAGAGCATTGTTGTCGCCCAGCGAAAAGGGTCGGATCTGACCACGTGCGGTCCGCGCGTCTGAGGCACCGGCAATGGTTCCAGGGGACAAAGGATCATCTATGGGTATGACCGAAGAGTAGAAGTACTGCGCGGTAACGGGAGGAATGCCGTCGTAGGCGTTGGCGGGCACGGATTGCGACAGGGGCGCAAGGCGGCACTTCGGACCGTACGTGTGGTTTTGCGATGAAGAGGTCATTATGGGCAGCCGATTTTGTTCCCTCACTTGCTTCTAAAGATGCGATGGTCAAGATGAGAGGTTCAATATATCGGGGTTTGCGGAAGGCCGGCGGTTTGACTGGACGCCGGATTCGGAGACGAAGAGGAAGGGTCTAGTGCTCTATTCGCAGAACGAGATCAAATATTACGGGCGGCTGTAGGTTAGCCTTTGGAGTTTCGTGGACTTTGGCATGATTCTAGTAGAAAGATTTGAGGGTTTGTGTCGCCGGGGCAGCGAACGGAGATGCGTATCGTCGAGGAGGCGAACTGCGGCTGTGCAAGCAATGTCACATCAGCCTCGATCCAAATGCGAACAGTGCAAACAGTAGTCAGTCAAGTTACCAAGACTTCGGCCGCGTGGAATGAGGGAATGTGCCTTGGAGGCTGGCGACAGCCAATCCACTGAGCTTTTGAGTCGCGATGATCCGGGACACCACGTAGGTTATTCGAACTGATTTCTGGGTGTGTGGAGAGAAAGCCGAGTCTCTGGGGCCCAGGTCGAAAGTCTAGCCGTTAGTCCAGGTACCGGAGACGATGGTGTGTAACCTGGAGTATTCATCACTCGGTTGGGAAATATGAAGAGCAAGCGAAGAGGAGCTTATGCATGGAGCCGGCAGCCTTAGTAAGGCAGAAGAAAGGCATGTGCTTCACCAGTAGGTACGTTTCTGTTTTGTTTCCAGGTGCTCAATGACGTACCTCGAGACGATGGTCAGTGCTTCATCTTCTTCTGACTCCGTCCCGGCTTGCACGTGCCTTACGAGCCACACGAGTCACACGAGCCACACGAACTGGTCGAAGCATCCCAGTCCCCGCAGCGGGGGAGATTCCCCACCGCCTCAACGTCTGTGCTACGCCGCCAGGGGGCTGCTCTCCTGCTGCATCAACTTGGCTTGCTGGTCGATCGGTTTGGGAATTTTGGGGGTGGCGTCACAGGGCTGTCGATGCTTCCACCCAGGAGCGCTCTACCCCCCCCCCCTCTTTCTCTATCTCTTCTATTTTAGTTTCGTCCACTCCAAACACTTCAGGACGAGCTTGCTTGATTCTTGTGGAAGAAGAAGGGCATGATACAAGAGGGGACGCCGTATCACCCATCAACCTTGACAAGTGACTTGGTTTCTTACAGTCAGCTTCCAGGCTTTCTGTAAGCGGGAAAGGCGAGGGGGACATACCTGGCCAGCATTGACATCTCGTCGCCAACCAGTTTCTCATTTGCATCGAAGAAGGATGGGCTCCGTCTACAGTGGGTATACGACCGGTGGGAACAGGAGGAAACCTGGACCTGGCACTCGGCTGAAAAGAAGAAAAAAAGAAAGAAAACAGGATACTTTTCCCCAACAGTAAAACACTACAAATACTATCAATTCAGACGCCTGTCATTTCACCTCCTAGTTTAAAAAGCTCCTTCCTCCTGTATTTGATGCTATTGGCCTCGATATATTCGTAAGCGCCTTGTTCTTCCGTGTTTATGTTGTATTAAGGGCTGGGTGGCTTATTGTGGTGGTGGTAGTAACAGAGGTAGGCAGAGGGTAAAAGGTATCCTCTTTTATTTTATTTTTTACCCGAGTGCCTGGACCAGTACACACTAAAGTGTCAATCAACGAAGGGAGGGGCCTGCCATCGGAGAATATCAGGACCCGAGAGCCAGAGGACTGGCCCCCCTCCCCCCTGCAGGGCCTTTCTAGCCTACCATGAGGACGATCCTTTGATGACCGAAGCAGCGTCTGGTGGGTGCTCCAGGAGGAGAACTCGCGTGCCGTCTTGCCTCGTCTCAGTCTCATTCCGTTCTCCAAGTCGCTCATTCTCAGTGCCTCGTCACAGCCATGGGTTGGCATTTGGTGCAATCACGCATGGAATCCGGGTCTCCGGGGGTTGTGATGAGATAACTGAACATAGTGACGTCAAGCTAACGGCAAGGAGTTTGGATGAGAGCAGCGTCAGGAATGAGCCTCCCGCGGAAGAGGCGGCCAGTAGAGACGAAAGTGAATAGGCCACCCGACACTCACATCCATGCAGCAGTTGGTCAAGACTCTTCCTACCCTGGTTGAGTCTGATGGGCAGAGAGTGATTGGATGAGCGAAACACCACCCCAGACAAATGCAAGATGTCGAGAGCAGTTATCCGTACTGAAACGGAACCAGTCGTTGGCTTCTTCACAAACGCAGTGAGAAGATGCAGAGGCGGGCATTGAGTATCTTGCTGCCACTCTGCATGTTTCAAGAAGGCCAGACAGGCAAGGATGGCGTGAACTTGGAAGCGTGCCGTCAGGACACGCACCTCGCGACCCCGCTTGGATCGTGCACGCTATCCCCTCCTCCCGCCTGGCATGGTAGAGTGGAGCCCCGGATTGGCCAACGTCTTGGAACTCTCTCTCTCTCTCTCGCTCTCTCCCTCCCCACAGATGAATGAATCCAATGTGAATGAGGAAGTCTGAGTGGCACGAGGCGTCGTGCCTTCTTGGGGCCCTCACAGCATGGACGGTGTGGATGTGATGTGCAGAGGAGCGAACCTATCGAGTGTGTTTCCTGTAAAAGGGCGTGATCAACGGCTTCGAACATGGTCACTTTGACTAGGCCTCCACGGTCTCCGCGCTCAATGGGGAGAGAAAGGCAATCGAGTGATGTGATCCCATCGGGGTCGTCGATTGCATGTTCTCGTCGTGTGTAGTAATACCTAGTGTATCGATAGCGCGTTGGTAGTGGTGTGCATGGCGGGTGCTGTGGCACCCAATGCGAATCGCGCTACAATCACTGAATGCAGCTGCAGCATCGCTAGCGCCGACGCCCCGTAACTCTCCACCTGGAATGCGACACCATACTTTGTCCTGCAACCCCCGTCTTCCCCCACCCGTCGTCTGCTGGGTCCTTCCAAGGCCAGCAGGGCCTCCCCCGGGGGTCTTCCTGTCTTTGAGCAGTCCGATTGTGTTTGTGTTGGCCCACTCACTGTGGTGTCGTTATCTTGGCTGATGTCGCAACACCTGGCGATTCCACTGGTAGGGGATCTGGGGTAACTACTCGGGGAGCTAGGGCGGCAGGAGTACTCTGCCGAGCCGACTGCTCTGAGGAGAGGGGGGGGGGGGGTTGGGTTTCCAACAGTCTCGTTCCACATTCTACGCAGCACCAGGCAAGAGGATGAGTGTTTGTCGACAGCATCGACATCATTGGCCCCATCGCTGTTTAAACAAGATGTGTGCTACCTAGGGCGGTGGTGGCAGCCGTCGCATTGGTTAACTGATCCCAAGTGATACCACACACACGTATCTGCCCCTACCTACAAATGCATTGGGGTAGGTACTTAACCATCCCCAAGGGAGCGCAGGGTGACCGTGCTCCAAGCCAAGATCCAAACCGCAGGCCTAGGTAGGTACACTACTGCTAGGTACTGGTAGGTAGGTAGGTAGTCTACATTGCCTCTTCCCTCTCCACACTCAGCATGTCTTGCTTGGGTGAGATGCATCTGCTCACACATCCTTCTATCCCTCCTCCTAAACTGCATAGGCGGCACTGTACGACGACCATTACTGCTACTCCACCAAACCTTGTGCCCTTTGTCGTTTTAATGTGCAGCCATCCCGACTCATTTCTCCTCCTTTCCATCTTCACCTGAACCCCTCACCGTTGGTCGTTACCTACTGCTGCTCTCTCCTGGAAACGTCGTCATCAGGTGTTACAAGTCCTCGCGTAACCACCTACCTCGGTCTGCCTACTTACGGTAACGAGCGCCAGGGCATCAGCTCGGCTCACCCCTGGGAACATTTGGTATCTACCTAGTTATCATTGTCCCTGTCGTTATAAGAGACCCACCTAGGACGCTGCCGCTTATCACGAACCGGCGCTACTGCCTCTTTGCCGCTGGCGCTGGCATCACTGTTGGTTGCGTTTGGGGTACATGCGCGATAAGGATCGACCACCACCACCACCAAGTCGATCCAAATCACCCAGCCCAGCTCGGTTGGCTTCAGTGCGTTTCCTCTCCCCCCTCTCCCCCTCCCGGTGTGCGGTGTGGTGCTGGGTCACACCCCAACCCATCTGCAGTGACAGACGCCCTACCCCCTTCCTTTTCTTTTCAACAACTCTCAAGAAGACGAGCTGGACGCCACGTCCTCTCTGCAACTGCTCACTGCCATCGTCTCATCCCGGTTCTCTGTAGTTCCCAGTTTCATTCCTGACAACGAATCTTTCGGGGTTCCAGATAAAGATACCCGGGTAGAGAAACAGCACAAGCCGCCACCCCGCCCGTCTGTACGCCTGAACTCAGTCAGTGGCTTTGGCTGCATCGCCCCTCCCAATCCCACGACCAGTCGTCGATAAACAGCACCCAGCAGTCCATTGTCGTCCACAGCCCGCCGAGGACGCAGAAGCTGCTGCTCGAGATGGCGACAATTGCCCTTCCGAGGCCGATTCCCCCGCATCGTCCCACATCGACGGTGAGCGCCGTTCCTTCTATATCGCTCGAGCCCATCGGCACCGCCCAAGTTCCCGTCCCCAACAAGCACCTCCCCGTCTGTCCACCGGGGCCCGTTCCTGCAGAGGAGCCCAACACTCCGCCGCCGTCTCCTCCCCACGACGACGACGAACCGGCTCAGCAGTCCTCGCTGTTGTACCCGCCCTCAAAGTTCTCCAGGTACGAATCCGGACCCGTTGCCGTTTACACAATCCGCCCCGCCGACGTTGCCGCTGCCCTGGATTACATATCCCGCCAGCCGTTGCCGGACCCAAACCAAGTCTTCCCCTGGTTCCACGGGCTCCACCCCCATAACCATATCCAGCAATCTTTCTTCATCGCGCGTCACCGTTCTCTCCGGAAGACACCCACCTGCGTTCGGGGGGTCACGCTCGTCAAGGCCGATGGCGATCTGAGTGTTGCCCGTCTCAAGGGTGCCATCGCCCCGCAGGAGTTCATTCATCTGACCGCCGCCCCCGAGTTCCTCGATGTTGACCCCCGCGATGGCTTTTGCGTCAGGAACTTCCAGATTCAGGCTGCCAAGGCCGCCATGATCTCGGATATCGTCGTCTATGGGGAGGACGACGAGGCTGTTCGCAAACTCGGTCTCGATATCGCCACGGCACAGCTTCGCTGGCGGCAACGGCACGAGACGCAAGGCCACACCATCCCGGAATACAACACCTTCCTGTGCGTTGCCCCGTTTGAGCATTTCGAAAAAGACCATAACGACATTGTGGCCGTTGACGCCCAAGGTCGACTTACCGGCAACGTCCTCGACTTCTTCCACCAGGAGCGCAAGGAAATGTGCAATATGACCAAGGCCTCGGAAATATCCCATAATGTCTGGCTGGGCCCGACACCGGACCCCGCATCCGGCGAGGAAGACCAGTTCGACGTCCTCATCGAATGCAGCGACGTTGGCCGGCTGAACCCGTCCGCGCTGCGCGCTTTGGCAGTGTCGAGAGTCGAACCTGCTCAGCGACCATACATTGACTTCCCCTCATCTGGGAGCATCCTGCCGCCAACATGGTCACAGGCCGAAGCCGATGGTATCCTGGAAACTTGCAAGTGGATTTACCATTTAGCCCACGGTACGCTTCCGGCGACGAGCGGGCCCGGCATCGACGTAGATGGTGACACCGACATGGACGAGCAGGGCGGCTCATCTCTCGTGAACCTACGACCAAGGAAGATTCTCATTCACTGCGCCGACGGATACACAGAATCCACCATGCTCGGAATCGCCTATTTCAGCTACAGCACTGGGCAGGGCATCGCTGATGCCTGGCTTCACTTGCACACTAGCAAGAAGCGAAACTTTTTTGCCTACCCTACTGACGTAGCTCTTCTCACGTGTATCGAGGCCCGCCTGCTTCATGAGTCGCCCCTTCACTCAGGAAAGGGCCTTCGTGAAATCACGGCTTTGATCAAGGAGCCGTCGTGGCTGCCCGGCTTGGACGGCTCCTTGCCCAGTCGAGTTCTCGATTATATGTACCTCGGCAACCTTGGTCATGCAAATAACCCCGACCTTCTGAGGGCCCTGGGAATCCGTCAGATCCTCAGTGTTGGTGAGACCTCGATGTGGAGGGAAGGCGACTTGGAACAATGGGGCCCGGAAAACGTCTGCGTTGTCCAAGGCGTACAAGATAATGGCATCGACCCCCTGACAGACGAGTTTGAGCGATGCCTCGACTTCATCGGTAAGCCGGCAACCCCCCAAGGGGAGGGCGCGCGTTGGACAATGCAGAAATGGTGCTGACCCGCTTCGCATCTAGATCGTGGCCGGCAGAATGGTACAGCTACACTGGTGCACTGCCGAGTCGGCGTATCGCGGAGTGCAACCATATGTATTGCTGAGGTGATGCGGTCGCAGGGCCTCTCGTTCCCTAGGGCGTACTGTTTCGTCCGAGCCCGCAGGCTCAACGTCATCATCCAACCTCACCTGCGCTTCGCCTATGAGCTTCTCAAGTGGGAAGAGCTAAACCAGGTGAAGAAGAACGGCCCGGCAGGCATCAAGCGGGAGCTTGAATGGAGTGAGATCACTCGCGAGATCGCGCTCATGAATCGTCCGTACGCTAGATGATGGCAGCAGACGAACCCTCGGCGACTGAACATAGGATCGCATTTTCCACGCTGGTCGACTTCGACCAATCTTTTTATTTTCAATTCTCAAAATAGCCATCTACTTGGCCACGTTGATCGTGGGATGCTTCCTATTGTCACATGTGGCATCTGCGATGCATCATTATAATTGTTGGCAGATGGGCCAGCGACAGGAGCATCAGCGTCCTGGCGTAGAACCGCTTCTAGCTATGTTCTCTGGAGGAGCAGCAAATCTCACACACAGCATGGTCTGCGCGGAACTTATGATTTGACGGAATGGTGCTTTCGACCCATCGGACTCTTTCATTGACTGGGCTTTGGGGTCTCTCGGGAAAGGAGACTGACTGACAGGAAAGGCGCATGGTTTTTTTTACGCTTGGTTGGGCTTTAAGTGTTCTTGGGAAACTCGGAGAAGCTCTCGCCTCGCCATGTCGCACAATCGTTCAAAAGGGGGGGGGATGCAAAAGGGCTCAGCCACATATGGCTGTTGGCAATGACTAACGACAATACCAATGCTTTTGGTGGCGAGGGAGGAAGAGCCCTTGGAGAGAGGCGACGCCTGTATGCCGGATAGGGTTTCTGATAATATATGCACGGTGGCCGTTTGATATCCCGCTTGTTCATCATCTTTCGTGATAATTAATCACCCCGTGACCTCCCAGCCTGGTATCTTTGACTCCTCTACATGTCAAATCTTTGGCGGGTCTAATTGCCGATTTCAATCACACCAGACGCGCTTTCGGGGAGGAGGTTTGTGTTAATTAGTCAATTATTAACGGTTGAGCCCTGAGAAGTGTATAGTAGCTTCATATTACGCAGGTCAAGAATGCAAGGTGCTGTAGAACCCCTCCCCATGAGCCAATCAAACCCTCTGACGAGTAACTGGAGGATGAAACAGAAAAGAGGAATGAAAAGAGTGGCCAAACGCCTCCCGATGCAGAGCTGTCCTTCCTCCAATCCTGACACGATTTCAGCAATCATGACCGTACCACACCATGTCCACCAACAACAACATCCCCCACTCCAGCGGGCGAGCAACGCTTTTACGTTCCGTATGACGAGGCGTCCAGCTTGTCATCACCATCAATTACTCTGTCACAGGAACTAGTTAGCGGCCAGGGTAAAGCGACTGAAGAAAGGCGGGCGACTCACGAGAACTGCTTCACCAGATAACCTTCCCCGCCATGCTCCATGTCGATGTTGTACACATAAAAGCCGCCGTCGCTGGTGACAACCATCACTTGAGGGCTGCTGCTGCTCATGGCCACAACGCTTCGCAACGGGCCGCTAGGCAGTTGCAGCCCGCCTGCGTTATTACCGCCTCGTACCGGCCCCGTCGGCGAGTTGGACGACTTTGGGATCTTGATGTAGGCAAAGTCCCGCAGGGGCTCCCACATCTCGGTCACAGTCTGTGGCAGGTACGAACCAACGACACCAGCCACGCTGCGACCCATTATCTGCGACGAGCGCCGAAGCATGCTGCTAAACGAACCGCTTTGACGCCTGTTGGCCTGCTGCGCGTTGCCGCCGCCGTTCCCCAGCCCGGCGGGCTCTGCCAGATCGCTTCTCGGAGACCCCGCTGCACTGCCCACAGGTGACTCGTTGGCACTGTCGTAACTGCGCGACCTAGACCAGCGATCCTGGCGAGGTGATGCCGGCGGCTCGGCGGCGGCTGCGGCCGAGTTGTTCCCCGGCGGAGGAGCCCCGAGGCGGAAAATATGGACCGTGTCGGAGGTCGAGGAGACGCAGAGAAGCGTAGAGCTGAGGTTGAAGGACATACTGTAGATGGTGGACGGGTAGGTTCCCCGGCGGAACTGGTACAGCTTCTGGCCTCCGGGGACCGAGAAGACGCGGATGATGGTGCCGGTTTCACTCGCCGTCGCCAGAAGCGTCCCTTCGCTGTTGAGGCAGATGCAGCAGAGGGGCGAGCGGTGCGCCTCGATGACGTTCACGGCCTTCAGGGTGAGCGTGTCAAAAACCAGAACCTCCCCCGACGTGGGTGCAACATATGTTGACAGGGGAGGCGCATGAGCTGGTCGTTTATCGCCCGACTCCTCACGAGGTTTCGGCAAGGGATACGCGATGTAGCAGTTCTCTGAGGAGGGCGAGAGAGCGCAGATGGCACTCGGGTTCGGAGATGTGGGAATCGTGAAGAGAAGGCTCATGTTGGAGATGTCGTAAAGGTAGATCTCGGACTCGAGCACAACGGCGAGGCGTTTGCGATTCAAACGTACGGCAAGCACAGCAGATGGAAAGGTGAGCTCGCAGATGACCGAAGACCGCTAGTCAACGTCAGTATCAGCTCGGATCCCTCTTACACGGGTCGAGTGCACGTCGAGGGAAGCGCCCACCTTTGTGTTTTGTATTATCAGGTGTCGCGGCGAGAGAATCAAGGCAACTAGAGAGGTCGAGAACAGCATCTCGATGATGGCGATGTTTCCATCGTCGCTGCTGAAGATTTTGGAGAAGGGGTCGGTGTGGTAGATTCGGAAGCCTTTGGATGTGCCTGTTGGGGCGTAGAGCGAGCCGGCCCGTTAGTCCAGAACTGCAACCCGACGTAGTGGAAGACAAGCGTGCGCGCGGAGGGGACCCATACCAACGGCCAGACAGCTGTGGTCCTGGTTGAAGGTAATGAAGTTAAGAGCGGTGTTCGCCATGGTGCGCTGCTCGGACTGCGGCTTGCTGCGTGTAATGTGCTCAGTCGGGTTTTCGAACAGCAGAATTCTGTGTCGCCCGGGCGGCGCCGGCTTGAAGGAGGACCAGATGGGGAACAACCACTGTGGTGATTCTGGGTCGACTTCGCAGACCGGGATACCCGCAACGCTTGATCGTCGCAACGAGGTCTCAACGAGTTGTTTGCAGACAGCGGGATATCAGGGCCCAATGCAGCGAGCAGTCGAGATATCGGTGGTACAGTCAACAGACGGGGAACCAGAGATGATGGCGTGTACAATGTACGGCGGTGGGGTTCGGACCAGATATCACCGCACTCGGGATATGATCAGCTGCTCGGTTCGGGGCGGATAACTGAGGGTGGTCGGCACGCAACGAACTTTGGATGCCAGCAGGTCCGGCAGAGAGGCGATAGAGGTCTCGAGGGCGTAAGGGCCTATTGGAGGGTGAAGAGCACCGGTCAGAGTGTGGTTGAAGTTGTGGAGCAGGGCGGCGCCCCCGGCGAGGAGCAGAAGGTGAGAGGTGCGGTCGTGTTAGCGGTGGCAGTGCGGGCAAAGGTGAAGTCGGGTCAAGCAAGGTCAAGGTTGATGTAGCTCTCTCAGCGAAGCAGTGGATGTGAATGGAGGAGACATGGACCTGGGCGGCCCCCAATTCCAATCCAGTGGGGGCGGCGGGGAAGCTATGTAATCGCGTTGTCCCGGCGTCCTATGCCTGGAGGGCACCGGGCAAAGCACCTGCAGCGTGTCTGCGTGCAGCAGAAGTGGCACGTGTGGCTGGTACACCGGGCAGCTTCTGTGGAGCAGCCCACTACGCCATGAGGTACCTTCCCACCCACCATATCTTATCGATAAGGCAGGCAATCGAAAGAGGGCGGGCTGTCCTTTAACCAGCAAAAGACGCAACTACAACAGGAAGAGAGGTTAGCTCTGGATGAGATAGATCCCTTGGACCTCTGGAAAATGCTGGATTGATTTACACACAATGCGAGAGATCTCACTCAACCCAACTTCCAGAGGCTATTTTCACAACAAGACTGTATCTGTCGCAAGAAAATTAGTCTGGACGATTGTAATGGAGGCTTGGAGCTTGAGACCCCATAATGACTGGTGTGTGTTTTTTTTCCTGGGTTTTTTTTTCCCTATCTGGAAATTGTCCTCGACACCGAAAAAATTGGCAACGCCCCTCTGTCAGGACTTGTGCCGTCGCATTCTACAGACTCCCATCTTAGATTCAAACCTGCCCTGTGAGCGACATGAGTCCCAACCCGCCCAGGATGGCGCCCTCGGCTCAAAAGGCGCGTGGCACACAAGCTTTGGACGACCTCATTATGGCTGTGAGTTGGATCTCGACGCCCCTCGCCCAACAGCTATCGCGTTCCGCAGCTCGGGTTGTCTTATGACGCGATGCTCACACCCCCCTGCAACTAGACAAACAGCAGTTCGATAGTTTCGAAACGAAGTGTGGTATGTTCTGCTCCCACCTACCTGGCTCGCCAATAAGAGAGTGCTCATCGTACCAAGGAACGTCTCTACTATCCCGATGAGCCGCACTACTTCCGTTTCTTCGTCAAGAAGTTCCAGCGAAGGGCTCCCCTCATCAACAGGGGCTACCATCTGCGCCTCAAAGTCATTGATACTCTCGTGCACCGCTTTCTCCAGAAACCCTCGCTCCGTAAGAAGGTTGTCGTCAACCTTGGCTGCGGAAGGTAAGGTCTTGTAGTCTGAACTGCTAGTGTAACCGTCGCAGTGCTGAGTCTGTGTCATTAGCGATGTCTTGCCCTGGCAGTGTGAGGTTCGCTATCCCGAGTCATGCCGGGACGTCACCTTTGTCGACGTCGACTATCCGGATCTCATTCGGAAGAAGCGTCAGATCGTCCTCGAGACCCCTGAGTTGCAGGGCCTCCTGGGGTCCTGGGAGGTCAACCACGACTCCCCTGTTGTCCTCAAGAGCCAAAGATACTGTCAGGTAGGTTGTGATCTTCGGCAGCTGGAAACTCTACAGAGGTGCCTGGATACCTTGTTCGACATTTCCAACACGGAATTCCTCTTTGTGGCCGAAGTGTCCATCACCTACATGGATACCGAAGGTGCCGACGGAGTGATCAGCTGGGCAAGCGCCTTCAGACATGGTAAAGTGCTACTATTTCTGACTTTTCTCGTGAAGTCGATGTTCTGACCGAACACGCAGCCGAATTCTGTCTGCTGGAGCAAATTCTGCCGGATGGGCCCGACCATCCCTTCGCGTACACAATGCTCAAGCATTTCAATAAGCTCAATACACGACTGAAATCGGTCCACCGTTACCCTACCGTTGCTAGCCAGAAGGAGCGTTTCCAGTCTCTCGGGTGGCCGTCGACCGAGAGCTGGACACTCTGGGAGACTTGGTCTGATGATCTGTTCATGACCGCCGCTGAGAGGAGAGCCCTCGACACCGTCGAGGCCTTTGACGAGTGGGAGGAGTTTGCACTCTTCGCTAGCCATTATTTTGTCATGCTCGCCTCCACCCCTCACCCTCACCCCGAAGTCGACGGGCACGTCTCCAGGCCTCTAGCGGAACTCAGCGTTCAGTCGTACCAGTCCCCCATGAGCACAAGCGTATACGAGGCTGGCAGAGGACATCGACGGTTTGGCGCTGCCATGCTCATCGAAAACCCAGACGGGCAGGCGCTTATCTCGCACACCTTTGGACAAGGCCCCAACGGTCGACTCAATTCCGAAGACTTGTATCGGATTTCTAGTCACTCTGTCGCGTCTAGTTCACCCAGAAAGGGACCGCCGGGGCGGGTCTGTCACACCCTCACAGACTTGGGCAGTGCCGGCACTCTTTTGGCAGGTGGTCGTGCATCACCATCGACCGCCTTCAAGGACTGCTGGCTTTTCAAAAAGGTGTTCAACACTTGGGAGCGAGTAGAGGACCTTCCGTCCCCCCTTTTCAGACACTTTGTCACTCGATTGGGCTCATCATCTCTCGCCCTGCTGGCTGGTGGCAAGACGAATCACTTCCAAACATCGGCCGAATACCTCCTCTTCGACCCCACAAAGGGCTGGTCCAAGTGCAGGACACGGTCTGCGCCGCCTTCCCTGTACGGCGCCACCTTTGTCTGCACAGGCAGTAAAGGACCTCGCACTTTCGAGGGCTTTCTTATCGGAGGTAATCTTGAGTGTGGCACAATCAACCAGAAAATCCACACATGGAAGCTGGATCTGTCCGAAACTGAGGTGAGATTGTCGCAAGTACTGAATAGTTTCAAGCGCTTACGGTTCTAAACAGCCCTCTCTGGCATTTGAGGAACAGATGCCTCAAGACGAGCGGGTTCTCTGCAATCTTTCAAGGTTTGGATCCATCGCTATACAGTCGACAAACGGGTACGTCATTCTCTTGGGCGGCGTGATCAAAGACGTACAACTTCCCTCGGCAGACGACATCCTTGTTCTCAGGATGACGGGAGGTCATATCGACGTGGTTGCCAGGCTCGACGGCACAGACAGCTCCGGCGTAGTACGTCCTTTCATTATTGGGTCCTCCGTCGTGTCCTACGGAGAGGGTAACTTTGCCATCGTCGGCGGCGGCGCAACGTGCTTCTCGATGGGGACATACTGGGCAGCGGGAAGTCACGCCTTCCACTTCGATGTCGACCTGCTTTCACCTCAGAGTGACACACTGCTTCCGTTGCCACAGCCCGAGCCAGTAAGGTACCTAGCAACGGTAGAGATCACGGCGGGCAACACAGAGAATGCCGCCGAGTCATGGGCCCCTGTCGAGAGGCTGGCCGTTCCTCGTGTTAAAATCGAGAACGCAGAGCATTTTCAAAAGTTACTCCAAGCAGGTAAACCTGTCGTCATTGAGGGGTCGGACATCGGTCCTTGCAAATCCGCTTGGTCAGCTGAATACCTTATCAACAACGTTGGCTCCGATCGCAAGGTCTGCAATCCACAGGAAGCACCATGAGTGGAGGGGGAGAGAGCTATGGTGTTGTCTTCATGAGCCAAACTGACGAACCCGCATCAGGTCTCTGTACACGAGTCCACCACCGAGAAGATGGATTTCGCCGCCAAGAACTTCCGCTATGTTACCAAGGGCTTTGGAGAGTTCATCAGGCAAGTTCAGGACGGGAAGCGGTTGTACCTGAGAGCGCTTTCCAGGGAAGAGCCGTCAAGCCTACCCACCCAGCTCGCCGATGATTACCCGTCGTTGGCGAAGGATTTTGCTTTGCCACCTCAGCTTGGCTTCGTGAACAAAAACTCATTCAGCTCCGTGTTGCGCATTTCCGGCCCAGTGAACATGTGGTTGCACTACGACGTAAGTTGGATCCGACACGGCCCGTGATGGACATGGATACGGCGCCCTAGATTTTTAACATCACCTTACCTAGGTCATGGCAAATGTGTACGCCCAAGTCAGCGGCTCCAAGCGTCTGATCCTTTTCCCCCCTTCAGACGTATCCTACTTGTCCTTCGCCCCAGGCGCTTCCAGCTCTGGTATCGACGTCTTCTCGTCACTCGACGCGGGCTCTCTGAGAGGTGTCCATCCGCACGAGGCCGCCGTCGGGCCTGGTGACATTCTTTTCCTCCCGCCACTCTGGCTCCACACCGCCACACCCACGTCCGACATGAGCGTCGCCATCAACGTCTTCTTCCGCAACCTGGAAAGGGGATACTCGGCAGGGAGGGACGTCTACGGGAACCGTGACCTGGCCGCTTATGAAAAGGGGCGCCAGGACATCGCCCGCATCGGGAGTAGCTTCAGCAATCTACCCCTGGACGCTCGGGAGTTCTACGTGCGGCGCTTAGCGGATGAACTGCTACAGTCCACAACGAGTCTATAGAGTAATAAAGACAGTCGAGCGAAGCCACGGGGGCCATTCTGGGTCTACGTACATTCAAGCGTGCACGCCTTACGGCAAACGCTTGAGCCGCCGGCTTATCCACCTGAAGAATCCCTTGACATCATTGCCTAGGCCCTCCTGGTTTTCTCTCGCCCTCTCAAGCCCACCCCGCCTCATACCCCCAGGGAGACAAAGCCACAGTAGTAGGATGAACACCAGTATGGCCAGGATGATGGGCTGCAACACCTGGACGCCTTTTTTCTGTGCAATGGCCCCGATGGCAAACGGGAAAATGGCAGCACCGCCCCCGCCAAAGGCGGCGGCAAAGCCAATCGCGCTGACGTGGTAGTCGTTGGGGAGCAGTTTGGTCGCGGCGACGATAGCAGCAGGAAACAGGGGTCCAAGAAAGAAACCGAGAAAAGTGACGAATATGACGGATGCGACGAAGTTGGGAACCAACCAGTAGAGTAGCTCGAGCGCGATGGAGATGAGCAGGTAGATGGCGATGGCGCGCTTCTCTCCTATCCGTCCCGTTATGAATCCCAGCAAGACCCGGCCTATGGTGAGCCCTAGCCTGGGGCAATAGGTGTTAACACAAAGAGCGCGGCCAGCACTCGGCTCCCAGAGGAGAGAACGGGATTCTTACCAAAACAAGACCACCGTAACGCCGGCCAGGAAAGGCTCGGCATTCCTAGCGCGCAGCATGAAGGTGACAATCCAACCACCCAGACTGACCTCGGCCCCGACATAACCCAGCAGGAACAGGGCCAGAAGCCAGGTAATGGGCTCCCTCAGCACCGTCCTTGTGGTCGTCCTCTTCTCCCCAGTTGACGACTGGTGAGTCTCCCTGTGGACTCTGCCGGTGGCCTTCCAGAAAGCTGTCGTGGCAACCAAGAAGTCAACCACCGTCACGCCAATCATGACGTAGTAAAAGGTGTACCACGACAGCTTCTGGCCCCTGGCTACCATGGCCGAGGCGACGAGCGGACCAATGGTGGCCCCCAGACCGTAGGCGCCGTGCAAGATCCCAAGCAGCTCGTTGGCGTTCTGCATGTTTCCGATCCAGGCGTTCCAGGCGCTGTCCTCAAGACCGTTGCCGAAACCTGCAAACAACAGGACTACAGGAAGGGCCGGGTACGGAGGGTGAAGAGCAAGGGGAATATAGCCCACCATACGGCTGACGGGGCCCAGCACGGCGACGCCTCGTTGACCGAACTTGTGGTGGATGAGGTTATTGGAAAGGGCCGCCATCAGATAGCCGATAAATGGCGATAGAAAGAGCAGGGCCACGACGGTGTATGTGATGCTGTAGTAAGCCTCGATCTAGACGAATAACATTAGCCATACGAAGTTCCTCGGGCCGGCTCTCAGCCTCGTAGACTTACATATGGGATCAGGGCCTGCAAAGGAGCTGTTAGTCGCCGGTCGTAGGTCTCCGACAGACGGGGTGGCGAACTTACACCGATGGCGGCATCGTTCATGCCCATGATGATGAAGCTCCAAAGAGTTACAAAGAACCGATACGAGTTGATGCGAGTTCCGTTCCACCTCTCCAGTCTCTCCTCGCGAGGCGTGGTCAGGTTTTCTTCCTCGGTCACGCCCAGGACAGACGCTTCAATGGCTTTATCGGCCATGGCGCAATCGAGACCAGGAGGGACGAGACTCAAACGCTGGGTTCCTCTTGGTGGGTGTTGCGGTTGTTGGTGTTGTGCCGGTAAAGAGAAATAGAAGAAGAATAAAAAGAGTAGCGGAGAGTCGGATGAAATGTATCTTGGCGAATCGTGTAATCCACAAGACTTGCCAATACTGATAGGACTGATGCAGCACGAAGCGATTGCTGGGCTTGGGGGCCACAGGTTGCCCAATGGCGTCGGGACACCGTAGTGGGCCGCTCGTGTTCTTCTGAGGCGGCATGCAGCCGATGATTAGCCAGGCCGGCACGAGCGACTGGTCGATATCGCGAATGAGAAGCAAGGCTCCCGTCCGGCGGGTGGCGTTAAGGGCGGGTCAATGATGAGTGAGGGATAGTTGGTGGTTGAGACTAGTATATGCCCGGAGTCGGTACCCCGCTGTGGGGCCGGGTATCGGTAACCGGCACTGCTTTCCTCCAGCATGTTCGGCTTTCGCAAGCGCTGACAGGCTGTGAGGTTCGCCCGCTGAGGTATCCTTATTGGGTGAGAGGAGGCGGGTCATTTTCAACACCAGAAGGCGTTAACGAAGCTTCGTCTCACACCGGGAGGTCGACTCTCTCCAGCGAGTCTCGGAGTGCCTCGTGGAAAGCCTGCTGATGTCGCACCAGCAGGAAGCTTCGTGGGTCGGGCCAATGAGGGGGCTTTTACAGGGTCATGCTCCCTATTGGTACACGTGCATGCCACCTCTGACTGACTCACTTTTTTCTCTCAAGCAGTGCCAGCCCAGCCCTCCTCAGCTTAGTTCGCGACGTGGAGAGTAAGACGATTGCCGAAACATCCTGTGGGTCGATATGGATGAGGCTCAACCTGGGAGGTGCAGACGAGTCCCGCAATCCTGCATCTTGAAAGCTTGCCTAAGCCATTGACGACCTTGGCCGATTTCGCTCCTTATCAATGACAGTTTCCCATCCTCACTGCTACCAACACAAGCGCGATACTTTTCCAGCACTTTCTAAGACGTGCAAAGTCCATTGATGCTATGTGCCGGCCTGGGTGCCGGCCTCGCTGCTACACCCCCGAGCTCCCGCACCTGGCAATCCATCATCATGCGTGACATCATTACCTACCACACCTCGTAATTAGGGGAACCCTGGCCTGGCATCTCGTAGGAAACGCGAGTTTTGTGGCGAGATCCCAAGGAGACATGGGTGTCAACCCCGCCCGATTCTTTCAGAAACAAAACCCAAAGGCCTCCAACTTTCAACCCGTCCAGGCAGGGGGGCTACGCATTTCCGTCACAAACGACAAACGGCACAGATATACTCTACCCTAAGCCGTTCCGCGTCCCGTGCCAGCCGCGGTGCAGGTAAGGGCCAGCTGCTTACACTGTCCGTCTTTGTGACCTCACGCTGCGTCTGTATCTTTGGCCATTCTCTTCCTGCGACTCTTTGACCCGGCCGTTAGCACCGAGCTTGCATGAGCTGAAGCTGCCACGAATTTGGGCCAGAGTACGGATACTTCGTCTTTTGCACCCTCTCGGCAACTTTTTCTTCGGTGTTGACGACAGAGAGCAAGCCTTGGAAAGAGAGAGTCTTGACCTCCGCAGCCTTTCCACCTGCCGTCGTCCTACCCATTCCGCGTGCAACTCCGCTTAGCCATACCAGAAAAAAACATTTTCCTTGTTACCATTTTGCATCAAGGGGCCTTGCTTAGCTGCCCGGACTTCTGGGCCGACATACGAATTTCTGTCAGCAGCAAGACCAACGGGGCTGTTCCATTCCGCTCTATCTCTTGGCCGCCTACGCGCGACACCAATTGACCCAGCCATGCCCAAGTACTATGAGCGAGAAGTCCGCGGCGACTACGTCCGCAGCCCAAGCCACCACCACCACGGCGAACTGTCCCCGCTCCCGCGGGAGCATTCCCCCGAATACTACTCCGGCGGTGGCGGTCCCATTCAGGTGGTCTACCCGAACACCCGAGGGCATGTCCCCGTAGCTGGCGGTCCCTGCATCTCGGGCGCCATCCCCGCCGACGCCTCTTCTCCGGTCTACCCATACTACGGTCCCGAATCCCCGCTCTCACCCCGCGACGCGAATGCCCTCCAGATTCCACCCCATCCCCGCCATCGCCCTCGCTCTCTGCCCCCCCAGGCCCTCGCACTGGGCGGCCGACCCCGATCCCGCTCGCGGCCCCGGAGCCCCATCGGCAAGGCCCGTCATGCTATCGACAATACCTTTACCCAGTCCTCCTCCGGCATCGGCGTCGGCCTGTTGGGCGCCGTCATCGGCGGGCTGGCTGCGCGCGAGGTCTCCGACGCCACCGTCCGGACCCGCAACCGCAAGGAGATGGAAAATGGCACGTACCGCCCGCGGTCGCCCCGCGAGACTGAGAAGGCGCGTGTGATAACCACCGTCGTCGGTGCTCTCGTCGGCGGCCTCGGCGCCAACGCGCTCGAGAGACGCTTCGAAATTGCTCGTCAACGCGACAGAGAGCAGCAGGAGGCCTGGGAGAGGAAATGGGGGAGGGAGCGTGACCTCCCGCACTACGACACGGGTAGGGACCACGAGCTGGACCATGGCAGGGGACGTCCCCGCAATCGGCGTCGTGATGAGTGGGACGACGGCTATCCTCGGGACCACCCTTACGACGACCGGCGTGCAGGGAGGTTGAGGAGCGAAGAACGATACACTTACAGGAACTAATGATTTGGGTGGTTCGTCTCGTCTCAGTTGTACTTGTTTCGTTTCCATCTTGTTTTGCCTAGAGACCGCATGCCGACTTGATGATTTACGGAGAACCTTTCTCATGAAGCTTCTGCAACCCACAGGCGGCGGCAGTTTGGAGGTTTCTTTCCGGGCACCTATATCCATGTTCAATGTCAGATACCAACGTTCCACGTCTCCCAACGGTGCTCATGTGTCGTCCCTGGTCCGTCTTAACAAGGCGTTTTCATGTCTACAGAAAGACTCATACATCATAGCATCATTTGCTGCCACGCATGCGGCGTCTGTTCCTTCTCGTGTCACCGACTCTTTCTCCGAGAGAAAGATGCAGTAGGGCCATTCCGAAGCCAGGCAAGCCAGTCCCTTCCAAGTTAGACGCCCGTGGGCAAGGCTCTTGTCACCAAGACAAGCCCGCCTGTAGCTGACTCCTCGCCCACCTCTCATTCGTTGTGAGCCGCGAATTCTTCCGTCCCACTTGCATCCAAGGGTCCCCGGCGAAGACATCATGCCCATCACCTCACACGAAGCATTGAGAAGGTAAGATGGTGATATCTTCTTCAGTTGTTGTAACGGAGAGTCTCCGAATTGACATCGTAGCCTTCGGGTATGAGGTGGAGACCGCCGTAAGCATCCATACCCTGCGCTAGGTCTCTCGGAGGTCCCCATTGCCGGTCGCCTTGGCCATGCGGCAACGTCTGGGCTGCGCTTTCGCGCTCTAGCTGTGCCCGGTAGGCCTGCTCTCTCTCCACAATGACCTTGAAGAACTGGGCTATCTCGGCAATGGCAATTTGCTGGGTCTCGGAGCATCCGATCGTGTTGCAGAGAGACTGGGAATCGACGAGCTGCTTGGCAATCACGGAATCCGGCTGGCAATGGGTGCGGATGCGCAACGACCGAGCGTTGACCTTCATCGCATGAAGCAGTCCGGCGATCTCCAATGGGTTGCTTTGACGACGGCCGAAGAACCGGAACTCATCGATGTGGAGGTGGACAAGCTCGAGCTGCGTCTCCAAGTCGTATCGGAAGCCCACGACTCTCGGGCGGCCCTTCTGATTCCATCCGTCTGCGACCTTCTTGAGCTTGTCCGGATTGAGACGGCCGTGGTTCAGTTCATTCGTGATGTAGTTGTGCAATGCATTGCTGATGTGGAACTCGAGCTCGCAGTAAAGAAGGCTCTGCTCGCGAGGATCGAGTGAGATTGTGACTCTCGGCACTTTCCCCTCACGCTCCGTGTCTCGCGGTCTTCGGCCTGAAGATTTGCCCTCGGTCTGTCAAGATTGTTAGCCATGAGCTCCATAATGTGAGCGCCGCTAAGATGCTTACCATCTCCCTGGCAATCTTTTTGAGGCTGTCCAGAAGACCCGGTTTCTTGGGCGAGCCGTCCTTCTTCTTGCGGTCCGGGGATTGGTTGGGCCGCTCGAGCCACCCTTGTTCCCCGATCAAGGTCTTGCCGGCGATCTTCTGCACAGGGAGTTCCTTGTAGGCGAAGTAGGGTCTAAGGGGGGAGTAGATCTGGCTGGCGTCCATCACCGGCTGCCTGAGGGCTTCCAGTCTGCCCTTGTGCAGACCATGTCCCTGGGCATTTCCTCCCCAACTGGCCATTCCAGGAGCCGGCTCTGGGATGTTTGGATCTTTCCAGCCACTGGAGGACTGCAACACGTTCTTAATGTGTTGTGGGATGTCGTCCTTCTTGAGGTGGAGGGGGCTTGGCCTGCCTTCGCTCTGAGAGTAGATAGAGGATGAGTCTACCGGTTCCATGCTTGCGGGAGACAGCATGTCCGGCGTCATAGGCTGTGGGACAGGAGGCGCGCTCTCGGGATTGCCAAGAATAGTTCCATGTTGCCGGATGTCATTGACGTTGACTGGTGTCGGCGTATTTTGTCGGCGGCGCTCGGCGAGACTCGACGCTAGAGAGCCCTTGGCTTTGTGGTTCGAGGTCGGCATCAACTCCGAAAATGTTGTTGAGTCGCTTTCGAGGATGGGCATCTCATATCTGCTTCGGCTGTTTTGGGCTTGCGAGGGAGAACCCCCGTGGCCAATACCTCTATGAGCCTGGGCGCTATTAAAGTCGTCCTTTCGTACAGGCGACCTGGCTCGACTGGAGTTGTCGACTCGTCCGCGACGGGATGGCGACTCGCTCTTGTTCGAGAATCTGGCAATGTGTCAGCTGCGAGTTATGTATCATCTCGTTTTTGGTACTCACACGTCTGTCAGTCGGTCCACCTGATTCTCAGTTAGGTTCAGGTTGATCTGAACAGATTTGTTTGGTTTGTGTTTCTGTGGCGACGGCGACCGGTACTTCCTGGGCGAGACTGGGATGAAGTTACCTTTCATTGCAGAAGGCACCGGCCCTCGGCGTTGGCCTCCCGATTTCTCTGAGTTCTGGATCATGATGGGGAGGTTGGTTGGCGTTGTTGAGGTTGTGTCTCGAGTATGACGCCGGCTTATGGAGCGAGAATCCACGGATCGTGATGTTCGATGGCCTCTCAATGCGACGAGATGCCCGATCCTTGAGCGGAACGAGTCGTCGTCAAACTTGGGTGCGTCCTGTTGGTCGATGTGCGGTGGTGAGAACAGAGGCTTCTGGAAGACAAGTCCGGGAAACGGCCCGACCAGTTCGGGATCCTCGAACCGGTTCGCCTGAAGCTCTGCTATCCAAGTCTTGACTCGGTTACGATATGGCGAGGGGTCTGTGGTGAGAGCAAATTCGCCTTTTAGCGCGTCACCTGAATGAAGCCAAGCAAAAAGGTGATGGTGGGGCTGGAGGAGGGTTTGTGCGGTTCCTTCCCGGATGGGTGGGCAAGGCAAACGCGTCTGTTGACTTACCTCTCTGCGGAAATTCTGCCTCTAAATCAACCGGCTCTCTAGCCGGGTGCAGCGCTTGGCTCGGTCCTGTTGGTTGGAACATATGAACAAGGCAGTCTGGTTTGGCGGGACGCGGCGGGACGCGGCAGGATGAGGAGGGACGAGGAGGGATGAGAAACAACAACAAGGCAAGAGAACGCCGCACATGCTACCGCTCTACGTACCTCCCTCGAGAATTTGTGAGGTATCATGCTCCTCATAGTCCTCGCCTGACATTGCCGAGTCTCCACTACATGGCGGACTGTAATTCTTCGGAATAGCCAATCCAGTCTCATGATTGCCAGCTAGAAACAATGCACAAAACGTAAGTACACGACCCTCATAGTCAGTTGCCCAAAGACTCACAGTCATGACCCGATAACCTCGAACTTCCATCTAGGCCTTGACCCAATGGAGGGGATACGCCAGGACAACTGAGCCCGGCGTCTGATCGCGTGTCTCCTTGGCCGCTGCGTGCCTCTGACGCTTGATAGTGACTGTAGGACGCCCACGAACCATTGGCGGATAACGGCAGAGAACAATCGCTTTGAACGTAGGCATAAAATTCCGAGAACGACGGTTGATGCCGTGCTTGAGCATCGCATGTTAGTGCCAAGAGCGCCGGCATGGTCAGGGAGGGTATGCCTACCAGACTGGGTGGTGTTTTGCCTCGACGGTGAAGTCAGCCTCGAAGTCGCCCCAGATTGAGACTCCTTTCCCGAGCGGTCGCTTGAGGCCATTCCGCTGGAACGGGTCGACCGTCCGACGTCCCGGAGGACGGGCTGCTGCTTCGTGATGGTCAGCTCCCGGGCTGTTCCGAGCATGGCTTCCGTGGCGACTTGTTGCACTCCGTCATCATCAGGAGGTGTTCGAGACTGGAGCCGTATCGGGCCAGCGGGCTCGGTCGAAAGAGTTGGGCTGCGAAGTTGATCGAGCGATGGAGCATGCCGCAGTTTGTGGGTCTGTACATTGACGATGCAGACAGGGTGCATCCTTGGATCATCGTCGACCAGCCATCGATGATCAGGAACACTACGCTCTCCTCCCGCGTTGGAGAAGCTGGCTGGTTCGGGCAGTTGCTCTGAATGACAGGCAGCAGACCAGATGGCCAGAGTCTTCGAGCCAAGGTTAGCTGGCGCGTGAGATCCGTCTTGCTTAGCGGCAACCCCGCAATGGCCGCGCACCATGCTCCAGCGATGCACGCGAGCCACCTCTGACGGCTCCGGGTCGACACAATCGTCAACGTTTCCATCAAGTCCAAACCAGTTGTTGCTAGGCGCAGGATGTGACTGGAAGTCGCGCCTCGTCGCTTCACCGCGGGCGGTGCCCGGCGAGCTGGCAGCGCCAGCACTTCGCGTATGGGGGATGTGGTTCGGTAGGTCTGAACCCGAGCGAACGGTATCCAGCCCAAACCAATCGTGACCCCGACGGGACCTTGGAGTTCTTGTTTTTCCGGGAGGCTCAACGTCGACCTGTTGGCAAAGACTGGTAGTCCCGTGATAGACTGCTAGGCCGTTTGCGCGGAGCGGTGCAGCAGAAGGCCCAAAGAAGACCTGGCAATGATCCAACCCGCCATCGAAGCCGAGCTGAGGGGTGAACGGGCCGCGAAACTCCTAGGAAGGACCCATCAATCCCTGCACCGCAGCATCCGCAAGGAGCCTCCTGGCCTTGATATCCGCGGTAGGCATCATATCGTGGGGGAGCGAAGGCGGCAAAGGCTGGTTGTCGGCTACCAAGGAGAACTTTCGGGCGAAGATCGGGTGCGGCGTCACACAACCTTCGGGCAGCGGTACCGGTTTTGGATCAGGTGGTTCGCGCAAGGACAGAACAGTCTCTAGACCAAAAATGTTGGTAAACCAGACACGACGCCTGTTCTCGGGCCGGCGTTCGCGGGAGTTTGGGGCGCACAAGCTATCTAGAGCGCGGAGCACAGACATTGGTCTCCTCGTACCCGGGCTGTCCCGGCTTCCGTCGATATCGGTGATGTCGTTGCCGTTGCTCGTGTCCGCCTCCTGGGATGGTGGAGCAGCTGGGACAACTTGCTCCATCTTGACCAACCGTCCGGCCCCACCAGTGCCGATCTGCCATTGCATTTCGTGTAACTCTTTGGGGCTGGGGCTGCGGAAAACACTGGTCCCGCCTTCGCGGGTAGAGACGTACATTGTGTGGTCAATCATCCAGACCTTGCGACTGCGGATGCAGCTCGGCTCGTTCGAGCTCACACGGCTCGAGGGGTAGTAGTCTGACAACCGAATGGGATATCGCTGCGGATGCTGTTGACGCCACTGTACGAGACTCACCGTAGGTCGTATGGTCGTGGTAATTGTGGTCATGTGGGGTATGTGAGGTAGTTCAAGGTTTGACTGTGCTAGCCGTGTCAGTGGCCAGGAAGAAGCCGTAACGGAATGGCCGACTCACGTGTCGGTTGAGGTGATCGTGCTTCCAGCGCTGAAATTCGGCTCCTGGATCATCCGAATAGTCGCAGTCGATTTCGATCAGCTCGTAGAGCACGCCACCTGCCAGGTCCAAGTTTTCGTCCCCGAGATGCTCGCGCAGGACCAAAAACACCTGTCCAATCAATGAGTTACTCGTCGTCCCAGCAAACAGGACACGGCTGAAAGCAGCCAACTCACAAGTTGGATACCGTCTCGGTATTGATAATTCCGGGGAATGTGAGCACAGTATCTAACAAGGACATTGCGGCACTCTGCGAAGGCTCAGTACACATGCAGCCACGACGGACTATAGCAACACATGGAGGGGCGTACTTTCTTCGTCATACCCGTCTCGCGTCAAGGGCTGGTGAGACAGGGTGTCCGCCATCTCCGCAATCCTTTGGCGCCATTCTTCATTGTCTGCCTGGGCCGTGGTCTGGATGGACTCGACCCACGTCTGGAGGCTTTGGCGATTGCGCATCGTGAGGAAAACCGGGTAAGGTGGCACATTGAAACGGGCAGCGGAGACAGACCAGTTCCCGAGCGAGGCGTCTCTGTAGGGTTGATACGAGTCGGCACGACGGTGCCGCTCTTGGTGACGCTTACTGCTGCGAACAAGAGCTTTGTCTGTCTAGCTGTTGTCGTCGCAAGAAACCAAAACGCAGAATGCAGGGTGGCCAGATACTCGATGCGTCTAGAGAGGACGGAGAGGAGACCCTCAATAGCAGGCCACGTGCCCAAACAGGCAGCTGCGGCAGGCAAGAACTTGCTCAGCGTTGAAAAGATACCTACATACCTCAGTAGATAGGTAGGAAAGGAAGGAAGGACAGGCGACACCGCAAGGCATCGACTGTAGTAAGATAGGCAGCTACCGCGACGCGAAGGGGTATCACGGCGTATCCTCCTTCCGCGCCCCTCCTCTGTCTCCACCGAGTAGATATAAAAACGGAGCAAGCACTTTCCGCTCCAGATATCTGCAGATGTTGCATGCGCCAGGGCACTTGACCGACCATCATATCCAGGCAAACATACTTAAGCGACGGGCTTCTAGGTTAGTTCCGGCACTTCGCTTCTCAGGACTCTGGACGCAAATGCCCCTCGAATGGGGTTGGGCCGAGTTCGTCATGCCGGTCTTAATTCTCTGGCTTCGCAACTGATCTCCGCTTGAAGTCAAGAAGCCGGATGTCAGTCGGGCCTGTGCTCATTTGACGGCCCGCCCAGCTTCGTAGGACGGCGGTTCCGGCCCGCCGGCCACGGACGTGCTCCGGCATGGGAAACACCAGACGCCAGCTAGCTCCGGCCTGTCGGACAGGTCACTCGCAAAGAACCGGCAGATGGCGTTGGTGTCGTCCACCAGCAGAGCACGCGCCTTGGGCCGGTGTCGTGCTGGGTAGATCCCGTCTCGGGACAGCTGGCTAGCGCATTGGGAGCCACCATAGTGCGTTGCAGAATCTGCAACGGTATCGCCTAGCAGGGATACATATGCGATAGTGAGAGGCCTACGGGGCTGGCGATGAAACTGTCCGCGGAGGCCGGAGGGACCATTGCACCTAGCCTTGAGGCATGGCCGGGATCAAAAGAGGAGGCTGGGTTGACGGAGTGCGCATTCCGAAAGGCAGGATAAGCAACTGAGGTTCGGACGACGGTCGTCTCGTCTGGATCCTGCATGTGACTCCAACTCAAAGTTGAACGAACTCAAACGTCTAGCTCATATTAATAGAAGTCGCGGCCGCATGCCCAAGGCGCATCAGATACCCAGGTGCGAACGTGAGCTCCTTACGGCCCTCGAATCCGAGTCTGAGCAGAGAGAAGACCGTCACGTGGAATGGGCATATGCTACTTACCTAAGGCTCGTACCTAATTCGGTTGGGTCCTCGCGGTCGCAGTGCTCCTAGCTAGCTCAATATGGTTAGCACTTTCCCCGCACTTGACTTCTCCAACTTCCAAGAGCCCCAAGAGCTTGAAGTCATGCGAAGTGTGTGCCTTACCTCATCCGGGGACCCTGGCACTCTGGCCAGAGGTCCCGCCGGACCAGATGCCGTCTCCAACTGCCTTTTCGCCTGCAATTTGCGCGACTCACTCACGAGAGCTACAAGCCCACCCCGGGCGCCCATTGTCCAAGGTTCCACCAGCAAACTTGCCGACTCGACTTCCCGAGTCCCTCTTGTCTGGGTTGAGCTCCCCTCATGCAGGGATGATGAACCAGACAGGTTGATGGACAGCGTCTCTCTCTTTCTCTCTCTCCCCTCCCTCTGCCTCTATCTATCTCTGCCAGGTCAGCGGGTATGACGGGTCTGGCTGGGCACGTAGCCGTTTTGGCCCCCTTCCAGTGTGGGGATTTTGGAGTTCCCGACTTGCGTTGCCGTCCCCAATCTGCCTCCCGACGTCGATGCTGATTGAACCATCTCCCCGCTGTCCGTCATAGCCGTCCCTCCGAGCCGTGTCCCACTTGGGAAGTTCATGCCAGTCGACAGACAGACCCGTCGCCAGACATATAACATACTCAATGTTTCCCATGTCTCTGATTGCTGGCTTTTCCTAAAGATCATTCTTTATCCGAACTCCCTCGTGATACCGCAGTACTGTCAAATCCCCTCCGTTGCCTACACACTTCGACCCCACGAGATCTTGGCCACTTGCAAAACCAAGCCTTGCGCCTGCTGACCCTGCAATATGGAGACGCAACCCGACCGCCAGTCGAGCACTCTTTGTGACATAGGTAAGGACCTCTTTCTGGCAACCACATCGTCTAGCCGCACGCTGACATGCCCATGTCCGCAGTTATTGTCGGCGCCGGGCCCGTGGGCCTGATGCTGTCGACCATCCTGGCTAGATGGGGATACAAGATCAAGCACATTGATAACCGGGCGGAGCCGACGCCGACCGGAAGAGCCGACGGCATCCAGCCACGTTCTCTAGACCTTCTTCGCAACATGGGACTCAAGTCGGCCATCATGGCGCACAAGCCCGCCAGGGTCTACGAAGTGGCTTTCTGGGACCCGCCCAAGTCCGGCAGTGGAATCGCCAGGACCGGCACTTGGGCCAGCTGTCCCGACTTCATCGACGCTAGGTATCCCTTCACGACCCTCCTGCACCAGGGTCACATTGAGCGAGTTTTCATCAGCGACCTCAGTAAGCACGGCGTGCATATCCAGCGACCCTGGACCATCACAGGATTCACCTCGGATGAGGCCAAGAACCCCGAGTACCCTGTGGAGGTCCGCCTGGAGCACGTCGACGGAACCTCCCAGGAGACGCTACGGGCCAAATATTTGTTTGGCGGCGAAGGCGCCCGCTCGTTCATCAGGAGCCAGCTGCAGATCGGCATCAAGCACAAGGACCCCATCTCTCACGTGTGGGGTGTCATGGACGGTGTTGTCAAGACCGACTTCCCCGATATCAAGGTGAGCAACGTTGCGGAGGACCATGGGCCAACGAACCCGTAACTGACAATATCGCAGATGAAATGCACGATCCACAGCAAGCACGGGTCTATCATGGTCATCCCCCGCGAAGACAACATGGTCCGCCTGTACATCCAGATCGCGTCCTCGACGGAGCCGGACTTTGACCCGCGAAAGACGGCCACCGAGCAGGAAGTGCAGGAATCTGCCAAGCGCATCCTCCAGCCGTACTCAATCGAGTGGGAGAGGACCGAGTGGTACTCCGTCTACCCCATCGGTCAAGGCATCTCTGACCGGTACACCCTGGACCAGAGAGTCTTTCTTGGCGGCGACGCCTGTCACACCCACAGCGTAAGTGCGCCGTTCCAGCATCTGCTCCCCGTTGCTGACAAAACAACCAGCCCAAGGCCGGCCAAGGCATGAATACGGCGTTCTTGGATGCACAGAACCTGGCCTGGAAGATCCATGCGGTGGAGTCTGGTTTCGCGCGACGCGACATCCTCAAGACGTATGAGGAGGAGCGAAGGGACGTGGCCGAGACGCTGCTCGACTTCGATAACAAGTACGCCAAGCTGTTTTCGCAAAGACCCGACGCAGCCAGCGAGGCCCAGGCAGCGGCCACCGACAAGTCCGCCCCCGAGGAGCAGTCCGAAAACGAGTTCATCCAGACCTTCAAGGAGGCCTGCGAGTTCACGAGCGGTTACGGCGTGGCGTACAAGCCGAACGCCCTGAACTGGTCTGAGACGCATAGCGCCAAGTCGCCTCTAATCCATCCTGAGGGCACCAAGCTCCGCACCGGACGCCTCTTCATGAACGCCGACGTGACGAGGGTCGTCGACGCCAACGTCGTTCATCTCGAGCAGGAGATTCCGCTCAACGGCTCGTTCCGCATCTTCGTGTTCGCAGGAAAGCCCTCAACCACGCACAATGCCCTCGAGGATTTTGCCAAGCACCTCGACAATAAGCGATCGTTCTTCGCTGCGTACCTCCGGGACGACGTGAAGAGCGTGTCGCACCACGAGAAACACAACCCGCACAGCTTATTCTTCACAATCTGCACCATCTTCGCGGCCAAGCGAAGCAGTATCGAGATTTCTCGCGACGTGCCCGCGCTACTGGCTCGATACCGCGAGCACGTCTACGCCGACGACAGGTGGGACCGCCGTGTGCCCAACGCCGAGGCAGCAGCCCATGCAAAACTGGGGCTCGACGAAGAGAAGGGCGGCGTTGTCGTCGTGCGCCCCGACGGCTACGTCGGTATGGTGACCAAGTTGGAAGAGGGCAGTGGCACGGTTGACGCGCTCAACGAATATTTTGGCGCGTTCTGCACCAAGAAACTCGGAGCAACGCTGTCGCAACTGTAATGCCTGTGAAGAAGGAAATGTGCTGTGTCCATAGAGCTACCTCGATGTATACCGAACCGATTTGGTTCTCAACGGTGTCCCAGAGCAAAACATGGCCTATATACCGGACTAGATATGTGCAATCCCCTAACCGTACAACTGCATTTATAGCAATACCCAAAATACAACTCGAGCCGTCTATCAAAATCAAAGACTGTTGAGTGATGGTCCGCGTTCTTGGTCATGGTGGCAATGCGCTGGAATGCTGGACGCCATTGCCAAGTTCTGAGGTGTAGAATCCCGTCAAGTTGTCATTCCTGAAGACTGTTTCGTTCCCGGTTGCTACCTACCTAGTTAGTCAGGGATGCGTGGCGGTGGGGCAACCCCTGCACAGTGCCCTGTACCTGAGTGAAAGAGGTGGGAGGCACGAGGGTACTTGGTACCTTCTCCCATTAGCTCATTCATTTCCTTTGGTTGTTTCCGCCGGAGCTGTCAAAAAAAAAACTACAGGCGTTCTTTCCTAAACCCCATACTACCTACCTATCCATCGCACCTACCCCCCGATGGGGATTTCGCAACTTTCCATTGCACCATCCTTCCCGCAGTGCGATTCTTTGATGCGCCTCCCTATTCGATTGCTTTTTATCCTCTCGCATCCATTGCCGCCTAGCAGCGCCTGCGTCTTCTTTTCCAAAGGCCACCAGACCGACGCGCGCCTCGCCTTGCGACTGGTCCTTGCATAAGACAACTCGCCTCGACTTCATATCACGGCCACCGTATCACGACAACAACCACGACTCAATCCAGCAACGCGCCTTCCCCATAGTTTTGGACTGCGCAACCAGTAGCACTGTAAAATCCCCGGCGTCTTTTGTTTCTCCCATTTCTACATTTCACGCCTGTTTCCCTTTGCGCCCATGACTTGTTTTAGCAAACTATCTGTTCAACTCTTGAGCCTCGCACCTTTTTCGCTAACGATCATGTAGGTAGAGCAGCCGCAACACAGCTGATCTCGTTTCCACCCCAAGGAGAAGACTGGCTTCTTCGTTTCCTTTGAAGAGACCGTCGCAAGCCTTAAACCAAGACCCAGCTCCCCGCGCCGGCGAGACCGACGACATTCGGATACGATCACGAACCCCACCAGATCAGTTGCAACCTCATCAACCTGGGCCTCGATTCTCGCGACCCCCTCGCCCGAACTGTCGCTCCCCGCCAAATAACTTGTCACCTCAGTCGTCATCATCATTCACAGTTCGGCCGACCCTGGGCTGGGCAGAGCTTTGAGTACAAACCCAAACCGCGGCCTATATCGAAGGAGAGGCAGTCCCGGATTGATCGCCACAATCACCAACTCCAACGGAAGATCCGCCCTACGCGGAGAAGGATTGTGGAAAACGCCCGCGCCTTGACCAAGCGACTAAGACGGCGCATATTCGAACCCCGTCTGGATAGGGCCAGACCAGCCCCTGAGCGTACGAGAGTCGATCACGGTCTTATCCCCAGCAACAAGGCGAGCAAGTCATCGCACCAAGACCCCTTGTTGGTCAAGCCTCGGCCTCGGACATCATTAGCATACGTGACCACTCATTAACAAGGTCTCAGCAAGCCGGATACCTCAGACTCGCGACTGCCTCGAGCCTACCTGCGTGCAACCAAGCCTGCTAGTGCCGCCAAGTCCTTCCGACACCTGCCCGCCTTGAGCGACGTGTCCAACGAGAATCACATCACCAAAACGAGAAAGCGGCTTCGCGAGTTGCACAGTTCCGGATTTCGGTCGAAGGAGGCGCGGAGGTATCTGTCTGGCTCAACTGGCGCAACGAGCACCAAGGCTTCAGTCAGGGAAGCGGGAAATACGATACCCGGTGTCCAAGCCGCGCCTGCCAACCCCACCGCCGGCCCCGTACATCTCGAGATTCCTACATTGGCAAAACTGGGCGCTCGCTAGTCTCTTCCCTTGCGGCGCCGCCCGGAGCATACCCGTTTTCTCCTGGCCAGTATACGGTTGTCAACCCCCCGGCCAGCCGACGCTCGTCCAGGTGACCGATAGATTGAATACTAGGGGTTTCATACGATCACTGTACGGCGTGAGGAACGGGAGACGTCGTCTTCTGCCGGCATCGGGCAGAACTGCTCACCCGGCAGCAACGCATCCCGCAAGCGGCGGGCCGAAGACTCAGAGCTGGACCTAGCCGTGGCGAATGCGGCTGGACAGGGCCAGCCCGAGCAGGAGCCTCTCAAAACCACTCCGAGTGCCGCCGCAGGTTTGGCTTCAGACGAGGGAATTGTGAGTTATTACTCGACTCCCCCGGAAATCATGCTGATGCGTGGCAACAGGTACCCCAGGGCCACGCTGCTTGGCTCATTGATATCATGACCTCAGTTCGAGGCGCTGTCAGCAAGGTCTCCAGTAGCATTGCTGGCTATGGTGAGTTTGTTCGCGTGGTAGCTGCACCGGCCAACTCTGACCATCGCCCTAGTGTACCCGCGCAACTACAACGTCGTTGAGCGACACTCTCGCGACCAGCAAACCGGCAATATTGGCACGAAGCGCATCAAACTAGAACTCGCCGACGACTTCCTCGATGACACCATGGCTGCACAGCAGTCCCGGGTTGTTCACTTGGCTACGCCCAACCCCAACCTCGTGTGGGTAGACGAGTCCACAAGAGTCGCTCATTGGCATCAGGTAGCCCCGCTTGTCCGAGCACTTCGAAGCATCAGTCGCCGGATTGAAAAGGGCATGTTGGGTTCCAGAGACAGCTCTCCTGCCTCTCGAGGGGACGAGGATGCCCGCTCGCAGCGTATCCATACCCTCGGGGCCTACGTCACCGTTTTCCAGCAGACGGCGTTCGTCCTGGAGACCGTTTATTCTCACACATTCTTGGCGAAGCTGAAGGACACATTCAAATCCCCCCAGTCGATCATGGATTATGACGTGAACCCGGACGAGTTTCTGGCCATCACGGCGGCCCAGAAATTTGTGGATGACTTCCCCAACGAGTGCTCCCCTGTCCTGGCTGAGTCCGGCGTCACTCAGCGGGTTCTCAGGGGCATTGGTGCGGACCTGGACGCTCTTGCTAACCGGAGGCCAATGCCCAGCCTTGTGCAGCGGGCCGGGCTGGTCGGCAAGGTTATCAAGTTCTTTCGGGGGGGCGACAGCTTCGGTGTGGAGACTCCTGATGATTCCGTCTCCAAGCCGGCCGCTGAAATGCCCGGCAGTTTTCCCGACGCGCAGGTGAAGAACGAGTCCATGGCCGAAGAGGCTAAGTCCGCGAGAGACGCTCCTGAGTATCGTCAAGTCACCAAACCCAACTACTTGCCACCCGCCAGAACCACTGACGCGTATACCTTTGTTCGGGAGCATCTGGCCGAGATCGCAACCAAACGACGAGCTGCCTTCAAGGATGGGCTCACTGATACGGACCCTGGGGACCTGCTCCCCAGACCGAGCCCCAGATCCATCTTCAAGAAGGATAACCAGTCTCCCGTTGTGTTGAAGCGCCTCCAGAAGGCGAGGGGCTTGAAGAAGGTTCAGTTTTCGCCATCGGCGAAGGTGTCGACTTCCTCGTCATCGAAACCGGTAGGCTTCTTGAATAAACTGTTCGGCTCGCCGCTTCGGCAGGTCACGGATGACAGCTCCCTCAGTGGTGCGCAAACCGATGGCTCACCCGAGAGCCGTAGCCCTGCGAGGCCAGGGCGCCTTGCGGGCACCGGGCAGGACACGGACAACACATCGGAGGATAGTGACGGGGAGTCCCTTGCGTCGATATGCCAGCCCCGCCTCGTGCAGCATCTTAATAAATCCCTGAGAGGCCTCGAAGCCAAGGGCTTCTTCGTCAAGGATGAGCCGCGGGACGCGTCGTCCTGTCCCCCAAGCCCCCCAACCCTCGCAGGTCTGAACATCTCTGACGATAAAGAAGAGGAGCTTGAGGACCTCTCACTCGCTCTTCAGCTGCTTCTCGATGTGGATGAGGCACGCCGGAGAGAAGAGGAGGAAAGAAAGGCCAAGGAGGCCGAGGAGGAGAAGCTACGCAAGACCGACGGGCTCCGCGTTCCTCGAAGGCGTATGATCACCTCGCTACCGACGGACTGGTTCCAGAAGGTGACGGCTTCGTTGCAAGCCCACCCTTCCAAGACGCTCGCCACCACTGCCGAAAGCGTCGAACTCAGAAAACACGACTTCGCCAAGGTGGTCCCGGAGACTGAGTGGCTCAATGACGAGATCGTTAATGGTTCACTCCAGTGGCTCGACCGCTACGTCAACGCGGCCGCAGGCGCCACGGACATCAAATCGCCAAACCGGGTCTGCCTGGTCATGGGATCCTTCTTCTACAAGAGACTGGAGGACAACGGCGTGCAAAACACCGAACGAGCACTTCGCCGATATGGTGTGACCAAGGCCAATTTCCTCAAGCTGGAAACAATCCTCATGCCCATCTGCAGAAACAACCATTGGACCTTGCTCGTTGTCCGGCCGCAGAAGCGGACCGTGTCGCATATGGACTCCTTCAACCCAAGAGGGTCGGCCGTCCACACCAACAGAGCCCTGGCCTGGATCGAGGCATTCTTGGGCAGCGATTACGAGGCGAGCGAGTGGAGGACGGTCTGTCACGAAGCCCCGCTGCAGAGGAACGGTTACGACTGCGGTGTTTTCACCATCACGAATGGAATGTGTGTGGCCCTCGGTCTCAACGCCATCGACACTTACACTGGCGAGGACCTACCACTGCAGCGTCTTAGAATTGCGGGCATGCTGCTGAACAAGGGCTTCAGCGGAGAATTCGATCTCAGTGGCCTGTGAGTAGCGACTTCCCGCTCCTAGGCTCCTTACGCGAAAGGGCAATGCGGCAGAGCTCGGAGTGCCTTGACCGGGCTTGATATATGATCAAAGAACCAACCATCTGCCAGGGTCGAACAGGGTTGTCACGGAAGGAGAAAAGGCCACCAGAGCTAGGACTTGCCTGCCCCATTTGCTTCCTTGACCATCACCATCATCGTTTGCTCCCTGAAGGGGGGAGAGGATTACGAGCAACCAGCCGGGCGTCCGCATAAAGTATTTGGGAGTTCTGGGATACCACATAGTAGTTTTCTTGCCGATATGTTTGTATGAGTGTTTGTTTCTATCTTGTTCCACTACGATTCCTTGGCATTCATCTCAGAAAGACCATTTGACGAGAGCCACGCGGGTCTCCTTGCCTCTGAGGAGAGGCAAGACTCATAATATGCTGGAAGGACCCGAAGGAGGGTCTTTTGTTAGTATTCACGAATTCCACATATGCGCCCGCCGAGTGACAAAGCCATCCGTGTCTATCGTGCCAGTTGGGCTTTGCCGAGTGGGCTGATCCAGCTTAGCCTAGCAGGGTCTGCATCGAACGAGTCTGCCATCTCAGCTCTCCGTACGAGGCCAGGAAACGGATACGTAGAAATGTGCCTTGTCAAATTGGATGTTGAGGCGGAGGCCGGCTCGTCCCCCCTCCTTAAGTCGAGTGGTCCAAGGGTCTGCTGTCTAGTGTAGGATCCGGTGCCAACCGGGTAGCAAACCTTGGGGAGGCGGTCGATCTCCGTTCACGATTGCCACTAAGAGACACAGCCTACTTTGGCTGATATCGTCGGTCCACTGAGGCAGAGACGGTGCGGGTTCGTCCACTGGATGGCCATGCTTTTATTGCCCGGGATTTCTTCTGTCCAGATTCCAGCGGCAGGCAATGCTCGGTTTCGGGCGGAACGCCCAGCATCTAGACAAGTGCGCAACGCCCCTCCTCCTACCCGGACGACAAAGTCTTATTTGGGGGGGCTTTCCCTTCTCTTCCCCATCTTCGCTTCCTCCGTCGTTCATCTCCCAATCTCACGAGACTCTCAAATACACATCCTAGTCCTATTCTCAAGGGCCCGGCCGGAGAGGCTAATGTAGACTAGCGGGGGCGGGGGGTGCTTACTTGGTTCCGAAAGTTAAAAAAGAAAAAAGGGAAAGAGAGAAGCGCGGCACTAAAGGATTACAGAGTTCCATGCCTCTCTCCTAGTTTGACTCTTTCACGTGCAACCCTGGAGAGGCAAAATGAGGCTGGTTGATATCTTCTTTTTGACAGGAGGCCATCAAAGCTTGGGGGATCCACGATCGGCCCAGGGGTCCAGGCTGTCCCGTCGGTCTGATACTGGTGAGATGGGCGCCAAGGGACAGGCGGGAGGTGGGCATGGGGGCGGTTGAGGTGCGAAACCTCCCAATGGTCTTTGGAGGGCACCCTTCCAAGGTTCGGCGACTCAGGTAGCTGCATTACGGAGGAATTGGCAGTCCCGATATGGCAAGTCGTAGATTTGCTTGGAAAAGGGTTCGCATTCGCTGCGGACAGAGCACGGCACAGGCATGGTGGGGATTGTTCCTTTGCAAACCATGGCAGCGGACTCTCCGCACAACGGGCAGGCACCAAGCTGTCAAACCCATCGGTTGACACCAGGCGAATGGGAACATGCGCCGAGTTGCGCCCTAGCCCTGCCATATTGAGGCCTTGCGCAGCAACACATACCTCCATCAGTCCACATTGGAGAGACGCGGCGAGAACTGGGGGATGGCAAGCAGCTCTACATCTAAAGAGAGGGAACGACAGACATTGCTGGATTAGAGCGACGCCCGCGTGGGACGCGAGCAGGCCGATAATTTAAGAGTCAGGCTTTTGTCCGGCGTGTCTCGGCACCAGTGCTTCAAGCAACCCGAGAACCTCGGACTCGGAGCACGTTGGGCGGGACAGGCGAGAGCATGGAAAGAGGCAGCAAAGGCGGTGGTCGGCGGGCTGCCACAAAAAAAAAAAAAAACGTCGGGACAGGGTACAGCTACTGCGGCCAGCGAAGGCCGAACATGACGCTGTGGCATCGTGTTCTGAGTGCCGGCGACGTCGCCGGGGATGGGCTGCACTCGACCGCTGCCTTGCCGGCCATCCGGGTGGTGCGCGCGCACCGGATGCGAAGACTGGCAAACTCGTCGGAGGCGTGAGGGTTCCATGCTGCCGTCGGAACGACCAAGGAACACCGGCCGGGTAGGTTGAGAGTCAGTCGCGTGCAGTGCCAAGCAGGTTCTTGAATAGCATCGAATGGATCTCTACTCCCATCGCGATGGCAAGGCGATAGACTTTGACGACTCGCTTATCAAGCGAGTCGTCAAAGTCCGGGCGCAACACGATGGCGTCACAACGCAGTCGGGCGTGTGTACTACTGCGGGAGGGTGTTGACTCGCGATGGCGCGAGAGTAAAAGTGCAGCGTCGTGAGTCCCGAAGGCACTGCGCTGGACAAGTAGTTGAGGATATGAGAGTGGACGGACCCGGGATGTCGGTGGTGCCAGATGGACATCGGCGTCTCGGGAGTGTATGGGATGGGGATTTGGGTGGACAAGAGGATTTGGGCTCCCGGCGACGCCGTCGGCACCACGGAAGTCATCTGGGTCGTCCGGGTGCCAGCCAGCTGGTGCACCCTGGCGGGCCCGGCGGTGCACTTGGTGTACACTACAAGTTCCGGCATCTGATGTTTGGATGCCGTGTTCTCGTTGCACCATACGTGTGGTGTACTACATAGTATGCGTGCTCCCGCGTCTTCAAAACACCACAGTACAGGCGCGTGGGGCCCCATGGTCCAGCCGGCGATGGCGGACTTCCTAGCCACGGCTACGCGCGTGACCGACCGCATTGCGTTCTGGAGCCCACGGTCTCCTAGGTCCCAGCGAACAAGCCCCTCTTGTCGGATGTCGTTGGCCGGGCCCAGCCGCGTCACTGATGCGTTCCACCGGAGGCCGCCGTACACAGGGCATCCATGAACATCGTTAAGGTCCATCAGGGCAGCATTGCATTGTTGCCACGGCACAGAGGTTTTGCTGAGATGACTTACAGGGTTTAGGATTGCCTGGCATCGCTTCGAGATGATCCAAGATATCCGGATGGGCGCTAGTCCGAAACAAGAAAGATTCCAGAAGCAAGCAACTTTGCCACAGTGGACCAAGTGAGTAAGGCGATGCGACAATACGGGCAAAGGGCCAAATCGGGGTTTCGGATTGATTGGTAACGTGAGATTTTGTTAGTTTACTTCAGTTTTGCAGCGGGGGATAATGAAAACACCAAAATCAGAAAGGAAATTCAAAACAAGACCAAAAAGCGATGTGACCAAGACTGGAATCCAAGGCGATGGTTGCTTGTGCCAAATGCTTACATAAGACACATGGATGTAGGTATAGGTACCTACCTACCTACCTAGGTATCATCTATCCGTATATCTGTAGACTGCCCATCCCAGGCGCTTCCTGCATTACCGAACCTAATATCTAGCATGAGACACACGCAGGTAGGAACAGGAGGAAACGGCGATGTCAGCAACGCACGGAATGTGCCAAAAGAACTTTTTTCGCGCATGCCTATTTAGTCAATGACGACATAGCCGGGCCTTCGCACCTTTATGCGCGCCGCGCCGCCTTGAGAAATGGGGGCTTCTTTTTTTTTCTTTTTTTTCCTTTTTTTTTTTCTAACTTTGGTTGAGGCTGACGTTTCTTACGAAGGGCTGCGCTACCTACGCTTACCTCGTCCAATCCTTCTCGAATTCAAAATCATTCGATCCAGCATCCTTGGTCCGCCCTTCAATCGTCACGGCCTGGACCTTTCGATCTCTCCATTCCAGACCATGCTGGATTCTGCATTTCTGGCCAAGTCCACTCAGTGGGACCTCTCGGCCTCTGTGCCAAGACACATACTCGGCCCCTCTAAACAGCGTTGGCTGATTGTTCCGGGGCGAAAAAGCTTGGGAGCAGCCACCGAAAGGATGGACAGAACAACGTCACTGCTCTGTGGAATGTCGAGAATATGAACAAACACCTGGTCGGTGAACCGCTCCCGCCTTACGGAGACGCATTCCTGAGCAATCGAGCGAGCTAAAAAGGGAGAAAAGACGCAGAAAGGTTACCCGGATAATGCTCGCAACCGTGGAAGCCCCGGCTACGGACTCGCCGTTGGACTGGGCCGCGCATACCCGCCCTCCCTACAGGTGTGGAAGCATATTGGCGACAAAAATCCCCCACCCTCTCCAAAAAAAAACATGTCGTCCTTGCCAACAACAACACCCGACGCGCACACGTGCATCCCTGTCTCCGCCTGAGCGGGAGAAATGTTCTGGAAATTGAACCGACACAAAAGATGTGTCGGTCGGACACTGGGCCGAGACATACCGGTATGGCTGGATGGACGCCATAATACTGCCGGATGCGTGCATGCATGGCCTGCATGGAAGAGCGGGAGAACCCCCCCCCCCCCCCGCCCGCAGCAACAACAACTTCTGCAGCGCGCTCTTATCCCGTTGCTTCATTCCCCAAGTCTCAGCATCAACGTTGGTGGTCAATTGACCCCGCCCAGGGTGGATTTGAGCCGGCCTGGAAGCTGCTTCGAAAGGTCCAAGAGAGCCAAGATGTCGACGCCCAGCAAAACCAAATAAACCCGCCAAAGGATCCCTCCCGACTAGCAAACAAAGCCTACACACCGTTTCTTCTGTCCAACCTCAACCTTTTCCTCGTTCGGTTTTGGCGGAAGGCAAACATGCAACCTGACTAACCCGCCCGAACCTCCCTTTCTGGCCATCGCCTCTGCGGCGTAGAGGAACCCTCAGCGTTGTCGCCTGGCTATGGGTGGCCTGTCCTGGTCGCTCGCCTGTCCTCTGTCCTGCCCCGTGCCGTTGCGCCCAAGGAAATCGATCGACTTCCAAGCTTCTTCGCAACGTGTGCATTCTTTTCCACCGTTGCCCTGACTTGTCTTGATGATGCTCGCCCAGCGTGCCCAGCTTGTCCATGCCGTCGCCGCACACCGCCACAGCGCTTGGCATCTGCCCTGCTCAGCTCGTTTGCGTAACCACGACGGTCCCCCAATCAACGTGACCGTCAGGCGCCTCGTCGCAAACGGTTGGTGGGCGGCACGAATTTGGGCCCCAGGTTCGCTCACGCATGGGCCCAGCCATGCGTTGCACTATCCGTTGTGCTTGGCCGTAGGGTGTTTGTCTCCGGAACCCGTGTTGCTTGGTGTGCAGTGTCGCGAGCTCGGTTGAACAGAAAGCTGCTGCTCTGCCTAGGGTTGGGCATCGAGGCTCGTACGTCCCGGTGCCATCCCAGCCACTGATGCTCCGCAACTCAGCAGATCAGGTTCGGCCATGTTTGTGTAGGTATGTGCAATGTGCAAAATGTCTGAGACGGCCTTGGCGCCAACCGAAGAAAACACCAGGACGATCCAAGGTCGATCAGACCCCGGCCTGTCAAGACCCCGTCTCTGCTTCTTCTCGTTTTCCACCCAGCCATCCATCCTCCCCCCTCGTCGCATTGATCGGCGGCCGCTCCTTTTTACTCTGTTCGCATACGGAACGGCTACGACTGCAACCCTCCCGGGACATGCAGTGTAACAAATCGACACACTCTCTCACACAAGAGACGGCCAACGGCACTCGTGAATCCTGACTGCTAATCACACGCGGCTCCTCCGAGAGGCCATACAGAGAAGAGAGCACAGTCTTGGTAACGGTGCTTATTTTGCCACACGCCTGATCACCACACCCTTGGACACCACGAGCGAGAGCTCTGGCAGCAGGGCGTTGGCAGTCCATATTCATTACCAAGCCGCCCATGCCTTTCTCCTCCATGTCCGGATTGCACGGGAGGGAGGTGCTCTCGGATGCCGATACCTCGAGCAAGGCAGGCGGGGGTACCGGAACAGTCACTTGCCGCCCATTGATGTCGCGTGCGCTAACAAAGAAAAAAGAAAAGACGTGCCACACCGTCCAGACGCTTAGCGTATCTATACTTTACCTAGACGGAAACTCGAGACGGACGGTCGCCATCTCCAGCCACACATGCTATGTCCACGATCGATCACAAGAACCACTTCTCACTCTTCTAAAGATTTGCAGCCCGTCTGTTCGCAAATCGCAAGCAGCCGCCCCGCCTCTGCCAATCTTCCCAAGATGAGTGGCTGGACCTGGGCCGAGCCATGCGTACGTAATCCACTTTGGCCAGGTCCGCGGTCATCGCCGTACTTTAGGCGGCCGGTTGCCAAGGCTCGAGAGGTGGTGGAGGGGATGGCGGCTTGCAGCAGCAGAGGCTCACACTACCTGCTAAACCAAATGGTACACTACGCACGACGCAGCGCGCAAGAGATCCCATGATGCGAGGGGATTTCGCTTGCCTGATGATCCGATGGATATGACTTCATACCGTATTCCCCTACAGAGTCGGACCCGTCTCTGCCCATGAGGTCGGACATTAGCCGCAGCCTTTTGGAAGGCGATTCGCCGACAACATATGCCGTCATTGGGGTTCTGGAACGGATGAGGCCGGTAGAAAGAGGGCAAAAAACAATGAACGGCAGGTAATCAGAGGCAGGTGCCGACATAGTTCAAGGCCGCGATTCTACGAATACGGACGGCCTTGGGTCTTTGTGGGACCTTGCTCTCACAGTCTGGACAGACCCCTCCCCGTCAGTGATAGAGACATATTCGTCAGCGGACCGGATGCGAGGCATCAAGCGTCAGGTTGTCTCTACACTTTCAGAGCTTCCCGGGGAACGTCTGTCGAGGTCCCTTGGGACGGGCGCAGAGAGCGAGAGAGAGAGAGAGAGAGTGTGTGTGTGTGACGAAGGCCACACAGGCCCCCCTCCCAAGCTCGGACACTTGGAGTAAAAATACCCACCAACCATGGCTTCAGACGAATCGCCATCGCGGCCGTAGCTCTCTTTCACTCAGCTGCCATGCCCGGAAACAATGGATACCTCTGGTCTCGGGGGTCCTTCTAAACCTTTGAGAGTGTTTGGGGCGATGCACGATACGGCCTTGAGGCTGCTTAAATCATGTTGCCGCTACTGGGCGTCGCCGCCAGGGTTTCCTTTTGCTTCGATACGCATTCGACAGGCTTTCGGCTCCAATGGATTGCTTCATCAGAACCGCTTTCCCCACACTGCTCCAACTTCCCAGCGTGTCTCATAAGCATTTGGGAGCACACATGCCGACGCCCGTCCGAGTGACTGAAGCAATTGGGGGAGTGGGGGCTGTAGGACAGATAACAGCGTTCTGATCGGGATTTGCGACCAGTGATAGACTAATCTCATCTCAAGCCGAGTCGGTGATGGAGATTGACAAGTCGTTCCTCCCTCTTCAACAACGCCAAGACGTCCCCAGCAGCATTTCCCTCCTTCCTCATGCGGGCGCCAGATGACTTCAAGTGTCACTTTCTGCTTTTGGGAGGCTGGCTGGCAGACAGAGGAGGGGCGGCACGGAGGATGCCGTAGGCCAAAGTCTTGATTATTGACCCGGGGAATAAAACTGGCCCTCACCGTAGTCTCGTTCGACGTCCAATGTGAGAGGAGCCCGGAAATCGGTGGCAAAGAGGGGACAGGCGGCGTACCGTACCCGTGCGCTGAATCGGCGTCAGAAAGGAGATATGACGGCATGTACTCGAATGCGGCACATCGCATCACGATCCTACCCTTTCTCCCGTCGTTGCTGGCTTCTAGCACGGACCGAGCACGACGCGCCATCTTTCTCTCTCTCTCTCTCTCTCTCTTACGGCCGTGAAGAAGGGCTGGGGGATTCTTCTGGACGACCTTGGCTCCGACACACGCGCCCGCATCGCAACCACCACAACCACCACAACCACCACCACCATCATCATCATCATCATCATAGTCACATGGCGTTATGCCGCGATCGGAAAGTCAAACAGCAGCATCCCACTAGCGGGCGTGCTGATCAGACCGCAACCCATACACTAGTGTACGCTACATTATGGCACGCTGTTATTGCTTATCCGCCACACTAGC